CAATTTGACACATCTTTTCATACATAATTTGTGGAACATGTTGGAGCTTGTATTTGTCTCATTCTCAAACCTGGAGCAGTTTCCTGTCCTCATTCATAAAACAGCTCACAGCAGTTTGTTGTGGGAACTCGATAGGTCCTGCCCCTTGTGATCCTTGCTCAGAGCCTGCGACACTAGTGGCTGCTTAGGGTAGTGCAACAACAAACCCAGACTGTAGTGCTTCTCTCTGAATGCATTGAATATCTGAGTAAATATTTGTTTTTTTTTACTAAACTATTTTTTTCTTTTCACAAGAAGTTAAATGACTGCAAAAGGATTATACATTTAAATTATCTCATGTCTGATATACATGATAAATAGATGAGTTAAACTATTCAACAAATATGATGTGATCAGTAACACAATTTCAGCTTCTGTTATCGCCTTGACTACAGTATTTACAATATTTACATGTAGTATGAATTAAACACTAGACTGTTCCCGTGTAGCATCATTATTATTTATATATTGTTCTACAGTTCTTACAATTCTGACAGTTCTTTATCTAAACCTCTCTCAGCGGCTACAACCTCCCATTTTTCAACGTCTACTTTGAATTATTAAAGTAGTGCCAGAAATAATCTACAGCTGTGGTTCAACTTTTCAGAAACAAAAAGTGTGTTTTGAAGTATGAATTATAATGTGATCCGGGGTTAGAAGTTTGCTCTAAAAGAAAATGTGTTAATGAATCCACCTGAATAAAACAAATATATCTATACTATGTTCAGTGATACATAATATACTATAATATGCTATACTCTGGAACATCAACCAAAGAAAATAGATTACTTGTGTGAAAAGTGGTATAATGCAGGCAAAACACAATCTCAATGAGTAATGCACTTTAGCTTTATTTTTATCTATAGTGTAGTTAAATAAAAGTAAAAAGAATATTATTTACATTTCACACACACACACACACACACACACACACACACACACAGGCACATAGATTTAAGAGCACAAGAGGAATCTAAAATTGTAGTCTCACGTCTGGAGATTTCTTCAACAAATTATTCATGTCCTTCTGTTGACGCTGCTGCTGCGAGTGTGTAGGAAGAGTGAATCCTTTTGTATTTCATCAAAGCCAAGTTTGAGTAAAGTGGGGAAAAAAACAGCAATTTGTTGTAGTATTTGGTGCATTTTCATAATAATTTGATAGTAATTCAGCAAAATATTTATGTGATGCTGAGATTGAATTCACTTGAATTCACTAGCAATTTTGGCTTATTCTCTAATATGTATTGCTGCGTATTGTGTTAACTTATTTATCTTGCTTTGAATGCTTCATTTATTCCTTCATTTATTCCCTAGGGCCTAGTACATGTTTCACAATGGTTGAACAAAAATATATAAATCAAAATGTATACAAATAACATATAGTATAATGATGATGTATAGAATAATCTTTACAATATGATATAAAAAGTAAAGTAATTAATTAAAGTAAGTAAACACATGAAAGTAGAAAATAATGGGTCTGTACATTTTTTTTAAATTATTTTAGCTGGGAACTTTTTTATAATTGTATTATCCTGGTAATACTCAGCTCACATGAAACAAATCTGCTTGCTATTTCTTCTTCATAATAATATGGGGAAAAGTCCATTGCAAAAGAAGTTCAAACAAACACATTTATTGTACTTAAATTGAAAAAAAAAAATCTGATGCCTAACTTTGCATGTGGAATTGCATCCTCATTCTAGTCTGGTTGCCGTCATGTCTCTCCACTAGTACACCACCACCACCTCCTTTCACCTCCATACAAACGCACGGGTCTATGTACAAGTCAGTATTCAAATACACACTCTCTTAGCCTGCCCCCTACTGTTGCCCAGTGCTGCTCTCAAACACACATCAATGCAATAGCACGCACAACAGCCACTAACTACTCCACAGTGATGCTTAAATGTTGCAAAAATATACAAATGCAAGCTATGAATGAATGAAAGTTATTTTAATTCACCATAGCTCACGTTTTTGCGTTTAAACCTGATTATGCTCCCGGAGAAATGGCCTGTGAGGACAACTTTGTGGATCATGCCGCCCCTAGCTGTCAGTGTAAGTATTGCATCGCGTTTGTATTATTCGTTAATTAGCATATTTTACTAATTAGAATTAAAACATGTAGTTAAGTGTGTGTATTTGTATGTAGCTGAGATAAAATTGATATAAAAACATTAAAATATAAAAATGTTTATAAAATAAGAAATAAAAACAGTTGCAACACAGATATCCAATCCACTTATTATTATTCTTCTTCAAAATGTACGTATACACACATGACATACATAATCTTTTTAAGTGCTGCATGTAGTAAAATTATGAATTAAATACATATAAAATATAATTATACTACACATATAGAACAGATTTAGTCAGAATTCACTTTCTCTTTCCACCTTAAAGCCAATTACTCAAACATTTAAGAGGAAAGTGCATGAGTCACAAACTTTCACATTGTTTTTCCAAGTGAATATATCTAAATGTCAGAATTTGTTATTTGGACTTTCCCTGACACATTATCTATTTAAATAAACATAAAATATACAGTCAAATATTAGATGCATTTTGTCTTTTTTTAATTTATTTTTTACAAACGTAGTGACCTTTTGTAAATAGTTTTAACCTATGTTTTAAAACACACACCATCGCTCATTCTGCGGACCACTCATTATTTCGAAGGTGCATTCCTCGATGTGTCCAGTTGGTGTCGTCCTTGCTTCACTTTCCCTCACACTATTAATTTGAATTTACAAATTGAAGCAGATGTTTGACTTGTTTAAACTGGGGAATAAAGATTATTTAGTGAACACATGTTTTTTCTTTCACACTTGCATAAGTAGAGAATGGATATTTGGAACTCTATTCAGTAATTCTTGTTGTGGAATGAGGATTTGTCACCAGGAGCAGGTCAAGTGGTATTTATAGTTCAATAACTAAGGGATAGAAGAATGCATATTACAGAATTGTTTTCCAGGGATGTGGAGGCCTAAACCAATTGACATCATATATAACAGTCACTTTTTTACTTTTGATATCTGAAAATTTGATTTAAAGATGTAACAGAGGCCAAAAATACGTGCACGTGAAAACTAGTGCTTGAACTAAACTGTTTTGAAAGCGAGAAACCAGTTTATTTTTTGACAGTTATTTTTTTTGTGGCCTGAAAGTTGTATAGATATAACATAAGAAATATAATGTACACATGGAACATCTGCCAATGAAAAAAACCCAAAACATATCAGGACAAAAATGTCTGATTATGAAGAAAATAAAAAACATATGAATTAAGTTTGCTGTTATGCGAACAGGACAAAACAAAGTATTGGATGCTACATTGCTGACGATGATGCTGGGAGTAGGTGAATATGTTTAAAATGTCTTGCAACTTACAAAATGAGGGCCAGGATACGTACCATTGTTATGCTTCTGTTCCTGTTTATTGATGCTGCACAAATGGATATACACCCTATGTGAAAAATGCAATAACAAATCTCAATTGAACCATATACCTGTACCCAAAATAATACACTTATGCTTAAAATTATCATTACAAAGATCATTCACAATTCACTCCTAAATCACAACAGTAACTCATTTCAATCTTTTATAAATCCTTGTCCCCAAATAATGAGCAGTAGCCAATTAATCAAGTTCAGTTTGTCTTCATGTGAGCACTTAGAATGCACTATTTCTGTTCACTACTTTAACTGCCTCCCACAAACCACTAACTGCTGACATCTTTTCATTCACGGGTGGATTGTTCAACTCATTATGGCATATTTAATGACAGTTCTTTTATACTTCTCTTCTCCTCTCTCGTCTTTCATCAACATTATAACAACATTAGTGTCTGCTTCTGTTTCTATGACCACTTTTTCTCTTCCCCACCTACTGTTAGATGTTTATTACTATCTCATTTTGTCCTATCAATAATAAACCTCTAGTGTGTCAGTGTTTGAAAGGAGTTCAGGACAGTGCGGGGGCTTCCATAATATGAAATTAACTGAGCAATATGTGAGAATTATGTATGTGTTGTCTATACCACTATGAGAGAAGCACTGATTACTACTTTACATTGGGCTGCACCACTCACTTTTTCATGTCCATTACCGATTTTCGTAGTTTGTCTTTCAATATCTGTGTGTATAATGTTTACCTCCTCAACTCACACATTTTCATATCAATTATAACTTATTACAAAATGGGTAAACACTTTTTTTCTGCCAGAAACTACAGAACAACTTGAAATGAGTACAGCTTACAACTCAATAGCATTCTGGGTCAATATTAGTGCCTTTCCTACACAAGCGAACAAAACTATAGACGATGCACATCAGGCATAAATTATAAAAAAATACAATTAAACCATTGAATAGACCTCATCGTCATCAGAATTTCTGCTTTTAATAGACTCTGTAGATCAGGGGTCTCCAGCCTTTTTGTATCCGAGAGCTGCTTTTATACAGCAGCGAGGCCGAGAGCTGTTTCTTTTTGCAGTCATAATAAAAATCGGTGTAATAATTATGACAAGAAAGAACGTGATATGGAGAGCACGTGTAAAATATACTGTATAACCCTGTAATCATACTTCTATAGATATACAATGACTCAAAATGTATTCATTCAAGATCATGTGTTAATTTCTATATCCTTTTGGGAGCTACCTCAAAGAGGCTGGTGAGCTATAGATGTTATACCCTGCCTTTAATACAACTACAACTCTCACTACCACTTCTACAACTACTGCAACTTGTTTGTACACATTCTGTCCATATCCCTTGACTATAACTGTTCTTTTTCTTCTTTGTGTTTAGCAGGAGCTGGAGAGAGCTAAGTGCCGTCACTGTGGGAACCTGCCCAGACACTTCCCCACTGCCCCGTCCTGACCACTGGACTCCCACTGCTGAAGACAGACATCAACATCATATTCCAGCATCACTCCCCAGACAAGCAAGATGATCACCTCAGAACTACCCGTGTTACAGTAAGTTTAAAACCTCTTTTTTGTCTGGAAATACAATCTCATGTGTTTATTTAACCTAGTGTGATTATTATTACTTGTGTTTTTTCTCTCTCTCACAATAAGCAAAGGAAGGTTTCTCACCCATCATCTGTACTTCTTAACAATATCTGTTTTATAATAACCAATGACCAATAGTTTTTTCACACCCTATGAATTGTAGTCGAAAACAATTATTGATTTGATGTAAATGGATGTCATTTCAGGGACTCGTCCAATGACTCGGGAGCCACAGACGCTGTGAGTCTGAGCATGAGTATGAGTGAGATCGAGGATCCAGAAGTTAAGGGCAGAAAGAAGAGAGGTCGCCCCGGGAAACAGGGGCAAACTGTGAGTATAGGACCTTTTAAAAGCACCATTTTTACCCACATTAAAACACAAAGTAAACTAACAAGAAACCATCTTACTGCAGTGCAAAAAACGGATCCAATACTAAGGTAGTTAATGCTTGAATCATATAGTTTATTTTATTTGGTTTCCTGTACATTTTGACTGTCCTGTAAAAAGATCTGCCAATGTGACTAACACAAATGTCAGATTTCAAGGGCAGTTGCAACAGATTTGTCCCATTAGTAGATCTTGTTTTAAGACAGGCAGAATGTACTTAAATCACTTGGTTTTTTCTTCTTTCAGAGTTATTGATAGATAAAAAAAAAATACGAATAAACATCTAGCCAAACCTTGTAACATATTTGAGAAAATGGTCAATTCACAAATGGGGCAAGTATATTCATGAGTAGTGTGGCTATCCACCTTGATCGACCCGTGATAATAAAGTGGTTGTTGATTTCTATAGAATTGTGTCTTGAGTGGTTGTCCCATTTGTAAGAACAATAAAATATATCAATATAGAATAAAATGAAAAAACATAATATTTTTTGACTTCTGCAGGTGTCAAACAAAAAGCCCAGACGGCCTGCAGCTGATAAGAGTGTTAGCGCGTCCAGAGGGAGGGGGAAGGCCAATGGAGTGGCCCAACACAACGGGGACAACGCAGACCCCGTCACGCTGTTTGAAGTGGTCAAAGTGGGCAAGAGCGCCATGCAGGTCAGTGCTATAAACATGTGAGAGTAAGGATGGACAATATACAATACTCTCATAAGCAGTGGAAAGGATTCAAACTCAAGACCCAAGACTTTGATCAGTTTTGTTGTTGCCTGGATCATTAGAAACTACCTAACATTTAAACTGTTTCCTCTTCTTTCGGTTTGGTGTTTGTCAATTTGAATGACTGCAAATATAAATGTTTTCTCTTGGTGTTTCTCTACCGTTTCCCAGTGTGTGGTGGATGACTGGATCGAGTCGTACAAACAGGACCGAGACATGGCACTTCTCGACCTCATCAACTTTTTCATCCAGTGTTCCGGTTGCAAGGGTACCATGACTTTTATTTATCGCTGCAGTGTATTGTTGCACAATTGTACGACGTCTATAACATCTGTATTTTTTTTTATTTTACCAGGCACTGTTCGTATCGAGATGTTCAGGAATATGCAAAATGCTGAGATAATCCGCAAGATGACTGAAGAGTTTGACGAGGTAAACATGACACTCGAACAGGCACAAAAATGCCTGTTTGCATTGTTTGTCACCTTTTAAAGAAGATATATTAAGCATTTCTTTGCCCATTAAAAGTTATATTGAGACAATTTACTTTCATTTAATGTTTTAGAAAGTGCCAGACCTCAGCCTGGTCTTTGCAAAGTCCTGATCCAGAAGCTTACATGGTCTTGTTGACATAGTTAACATAAATAGTTGTCCATTAAAAGTAGAACTGAGGGAATGAGTCTATTCCCTTTGTCATTTTATGTTTTAGAATTTTAAATAATGTCTGAAATAGTAAAAAATTGTTTCAGAATGTACTTCCCTATGCTACCACCAAAGGGAGGAGTTCAATTTGTTTTCTTTATGTCAAAATCTGTAAATTACCAGCTGCAAACACCGCAAAAAAAAACAACATAATTTCAACCGAGAAACTGAGATTTTAGACAGAAAGGGCAGTTACATTTGTGGGTCAGAAGTGCCTACTTTTAGTCTGGCTGGATCTAAAAACAACTTCAGGTCTGTCATTGATAAGGAAACATGATTCGTCTCATTTAAATGTACAAATGTCACAATGCTGTAAGAGGCCTCTGCTTTTGTGAAGCCCTAAATGTGAAATCAATCACCAACTGTGATGTCCTGTAGCTTTTCTGAATGCTGGTTGAGTTCTTTTTGTAACCAGACCTTTAACATGTGTGCCCCCTCACTCCTACCCCCTACAGGACAGTGGAGATTACCCCCTGACGATGCCTGGACCCTTGTGGAAGAAGTTTCGTTATAATTTCTGTGAGTTTATCGCGGTGCTGATCCGCCAGTGCCAGTACAGCATCATCTATGACGAGTACATGATGGACACGGTCATCTCGCTGCTCACTGGACTGTCCGACTCCCAGGTCCGAGCCTTCAGACACACCTCCACGCTCGCAGGTGACGCCCCTTCTACTCAAACTAATGAATAAAAATATATTTTTTGTTCAAATTTGCTTTTATAATAATAATGCATTGGTTTTATGTAGTTTATGTAATTATGTAGTTTTTTTGGACACTACAAGACGCTTTACATGGAGGTGATAAACTACTAGAGTAGACTGACGAGGCCACCAGTATGTGTCTTTGGACCCTCTGATCACCACCAACCATTCACACACACACCAGACTCATTCTAGGCAATGTGGGTGAAGTGTCTTGCCTAAGGAAACAACAACAGTTTTGACAAAACTGTTCCCAGAGGTCATCCATCACAGTACTAACCAGGCCCGGCCCTGCTTCGCTTTAAGAGTTTGACGTTATCAGGCTTTCCCATGCAGGTGGAGTACTGTAAGAGTACATAGAGTGCTTCTGTATCATATACAGTTGTTAATAAATGAGCTTTGATGATTCTTGTACATTTTCTTTCACTAGTTTTCACATGCATGTTTGTTTTAGCCTCTGTCGTGTCTATAGCTCTCAAAGTGTCAAATAGTGATTCATGGGGTCATTCTTACAAGTTGGAAAACTAAGTGAAAGAAAGTATGTTGTGGTCATATTTATAACATGGTACTTTCTTTTGGGACAAACAACATTTATTATTGATTAACAAAAAATGTAGGCTTGGATTAGTTCTTTTCATATTTGAATTCAATCAAATTTATTTCTTTTGCACATTTTGTAAAACAAGATTCCAAAGCTTTGTCCAGAGACAAAAATGTTTAAAGATAAGATGGACTTTATTGATCTCACAATGGAGAAACATACGAGTCAGCCACCAGCTTTATAAAGTAAATCCAATAAAATACATAATCCCACACCCCACACGTTTTCTCGAATACATATGTGTGCCCCAAAACTGAAGATCTGTTATGTATTTGTGATTCCACAGCGATGAAGTTGATGACAGCGCTGGTGAACGTGGCGTTGAACCTCAGCATCCACCAGGACAACACGCAGCGACAGTATGAGGCCGAGAGGAACAAGATCGCAGGGAAACGAGCCAATGAGAAGTTGGAGCTGCTGCTGCAAAAGAGGAAAGAGGTGAGACAAAGCACAGAACAGGTGCTACTGAGAGAATTAGAATATTGTTCAAAAGTCCAATTACTTCTGTAATTCAACTTACAAAACTAACACTCATTGCACGTAAAGTGAGATATATCAAGCTTTTGTTTGTTCTATTGTTCATACTTGGCTCACAACTGTAATCTCAGAAAATTAAAATATTTAGAAAATAACTGTAAGCCATCATTATCAAAATTGTAACAAAGTCTTGGCATATGTTACTTTGCATGTAATGAGTCTAATCACGGGGCGACAGTGGCTCAGTTGGTAGAACATTGGTCTTTGAGCCTGAAGGTTGTGGGTTTGAGCCCACCACAAGACTTACTTCAAGACTCCCACTGATGACAGCTGTCGTTGTGTCCTTGGGCAAGACACGTAACCCCACTTTGCCTGAAGCCCCCACTGAAAGATCTCAGCTCCTGTGGACTCACCACCTGCAGGAGGATCAGTGAGGGGCTGGTGCTCTGTGGACTGGGTGCAGCTCTGACTGCCACCCCCCTGACCCAGAAATGGATTAAGGGGAAGAAAATGGATGGAGTCTAATCACAAATTAGTTTCACATTTTAAGTTGAATTACAGAAATAAATTTTATAAATGAACTTTTGAATGGTATTCTAATGATCTGACAGTGATTTAAATATGTTTATTATATTTTGTTTTATACTAGTACAGGGCAATAACATATTTAATCATGAATGTTTAAACTAAAACAGTGAGTTTAGGAGAAGGATTGCATGTTTCAGTCTCTCAATTTAAAAACACATGGCGATTGAAAATTGAAAAGTTCAGATTGCAATTTTTTTTTCTATCCAGAAGCACAACTCCATCTGTAATATGCTTGGGTCAGGCTAGAAATTTTTCGTAGTCTTCAATTATACATAACATTATTTAAATAATAGAATAGTTAAATAGTAAACTGTTTATACTCAGACATTATCGCTACTACAGAAATCTCATTGAACATTTTATTTGACATTGAATCCAATATTCCCATGAAATGTCAGGCATTTTTGACAAACAAAAGCAAATATTAAAAAAAATCATTACGATACATTTTTGTTTTTCTCTTCCCAGCTACAAGAAAACCAAGACGAGATTGAAAACATGATGAACTCCATCTTCAAGGGTATATTTGTGCATCGCTACAGGTACAACTCAAATCACTGTTTATAAATCATTCTTAAGCAAACTCCGGAGTGAACGTAACCTCATCGTCTACGTCTTTGAACAGGGACGCCATCGCAGAAATCCGAGCCATTTGCATCGAAGAGATTGGAGTCTGGATGAAGATGTACAGCGACGCCTTTCTTAACGACAGCTATTTGAAATACGTGGGATGGACACTACACGATAGGGTCAGCATTTTACATTACGCCTGTTTTTTACATGGTTTTGTATTGTTGATTTTAAAAAGAGAGGTCACAACTATACATTACCTCATCGTGCACTAGAATATTCAGCATTTTATACTTACTCAAGTCAGGAGTCTTTGAACTTAATGCTTCTTTATTGTGCTTGAGTTGGAGATTTTAAGACTTCTTTCCGTATTATGCTAAAGATAGAGACTTTATATACTGCTTATTTCGTAGAGTTTATTTTCATTTATCTTGTGCTGTGTGCTCTTAATCTTATATAACTTAAATCCATATATATGTTTAGGCTGATAGTTGTTTTAAATTCTGTTGTGTTTGTAATAATGCAATGTACTTACAGCAAGGAGAGGTGCGTCTCAAGTGCCTGAAGGCTTTGCAAAACCTTTACACAAACAGAGAACTATTTCCTAAACTTGAGCTTTTCACAAATCGATTCAAGGTAAAAAAAAAAAAAAAAATAGCGCATAAATAGTATTGTTTTATTTTTGTTGCTAAAATGTCAAGATGAGTTGTTTATTTTGGTTTGTGTTGAACAGGACCGTATCGTGTCCATGACTTTGGATAAGGAGTATGATGTGGCTGTGGAGGCAATCAGACTGGTCACTCTCATCCTACAGTAAGTTTGTTTGATGTTTTGGGGAAATATTGGCTCGGTGAAAAAAACTGGCAAAGATATAGTGAGAGGAAAATTAATCTACTTTGTTTATTCATGTTTTGTCTGAAAACACATGGGCAAGCTTTTCATCCATGGCCTGAGTAATCTACACTACTTTCTTAACTCAAATGACTAGGCAAAATGATTGATGTTATTTGTAGAACATTTGAAAATCAAGCGATAATGGATAATTGAAAACAGCCACAATAATTACTATAGTATTAGTAGCAATAATACTTTAGCAATAAACTGCAAAAGAGCATACAATAAGGTATTACATTCTGTCTTTAAATGTTTTTAGTTTTTTGGACTCTCTCATACCAGACTTTTAAAGGTTGGTATTATTTCTAGTACTGATACAGTTTGTTACTCGTTGCAAGCGAGGATTTTAAAACAAGCCATAGTCACTGTCAACATTTCCTCAAATCAAGATCAATTCATCCATACTTCAGATATTTTTGACTCATAGTTATTTGTCACTGTGTACGTGTTTAAACGATTGTATTACTTTGATTTAGGGGCAGTGAAGACGCCTTGTCAAACGAAGACTGTGAAAACGTCTACCACTTGGTTTACTCCGCACATCGACCGGTGGCTGTCGCGGCTGGAGAGTTTCTGCACAGGAAGTGAGTTTATCCACTGCACAGGGGTGTCCAAACTTTATAGTCAGAGGGCCAAAAAAGTTAACCCGACTTGTCCACGGGCCGATTGTAGAGCGGTTGGTTTATTTACTTGTTTGCCTTCTCCTCAGGTTGTTCAGTCGCCACGATCCCCAGGCCGAGGAGGCTCTGGCCAAACGCAGAGGAAGAAGCAGCCCCAATGGAAACCTCATCCGCATGCTGGTGCTTTTCTTCCTGGAGAGTGAGGTACGTAATCTATGCCCCTAAAACAAAGTGAGCAATGAAAGCAATATTTGAATTAAACTCGTAAAGTGCAGTGTTGTTTGATGGTGTAGAACAGTGTTTTTCAACCACTGTGCCGCGGCACACTAGTGTGCCGTATGATATTGTCTGGTGTGCCGTGAGAAATTCGTCTACTTTGTCTAAAAATAACTGCATTCGCTGTTGACGAGCGGTGACTTGTTTTGAACTGTGGAGTAACCATGTAATACTTTTTCAAATCAGTAGATGGCAGCAGATAGCTAAGTACTTTGAAGCTGAAAAATTGGATGCGACCACTGGCTGTAACAGGTCAGCATTGTGGCGAGAAAGGTAAAATTGGATGCGACCAACAAATGTGGGAGGGAGCGAGACAAGAGCTTTGTTGCGAGTGAGAAGTGAAAGTGATAGAGACGTTTTTGAAAATGAATTATGCCGTTTCTGAACAGGATTAACATCCTCCGCTCTGCCCCGGGGCAGCTGTGGCCGCGTTGTAGTGGTTTAACTATGAAATGTACAATTTTTGTACAACAGCTCTCGCGAACGCACTTCTGAACTGGGTACCGAGCGCAGACCATAGTCGAGTGGACAGAACCACAGACATGCGGACCGGACAGAACCATGGACTCGCGTTCAGGACCTCCCGTGTCCCTCATCCAAAACTCCTGAATTTAAAGCTCGGATACCTACATTTTTCCCATGCACTAACAATGCATGTTCTTTGTGTGAGTTATTATTTGACTATTTGGGCAGAGAGTGGATTTTCTTAGTTTATTTCCACACAGTTAGTGCCACTTTATTCCCAAACTCTTGTTAATTGTATCGAGAAATATTAAATAAAGCTTAATGTCAAGGCCTGGACTTAAGCATTTTGATGAGAATAACTGTATATTGTGAATATAGGCTACAGAGTATACTGTATACATTATAAGATAAGATAAGATATACTTTATATATCACACAGAGTATGTACAGTATATATTTTTACATTAGTACTGTATACATTTTTACATTTTCTCCTGGAGGTGTGCCGCAAGATTTTTTCAGTGAAAAAAGTGTGCCTTGGCTCAAAAAAGGTTGAAAAACACTGGTGTAGAAAATAAACTGTAATGATAAATGTAAGGAATATTAAAGGAATAGTTCGGCGCACTAACTTCTCTCCGGAGACTTCTCTCTCGCTCACTTCCGTCAATAGAAGCAGCGTGACTTGTAGTACGGAGAGAAGTTAGTGCGCGGACGTAGCGCTCCTCAGATTACTACGCCTCACAATATAGTACCCGTTTTATCCGCTGAGAAAATCGACAGTTACATTTCTGTGTTACTATACTTTGCAGTGTAACACGTCACGTAACTATATACATTTAATAGGGAACACTTGGAAGAGTTTGGTAGCTTCTAGCGGGAGCTATCTTTTGGGTACTATACAGTATACAGAGGAGGCTGCGTTTGTGCTCCCGTTTTTGCTCCGTTTGCATGACAGAGCGCACGGACTAAGACCAGACAGGTACATATTAACTAGTCTAAGGTAAGGTAAGAACATATGTCAGTATGTAAAAACTGTGAACTATTCCTTTAAATGATGTTGGGTTGATTGCATGTTAAAGCGGCCATTATACCACTTGTATATAGTTTGCCACGGTGTATTCATTTATTTTTGTTTCAACATTGTCTGTTTCATATCTTTGCAGCTCCACGAACATGCGGCGTACCTGGTGGACTCGCTGTGGGAGAGTTCTCAGGAGCTGCTGAAGGACTGGGAGTGTATGACGGAGCTGCTGCTGGAGGAGCCGGTCCAGGGAGAGGAGGGTAAGACGCCTCACACACATGAGAAAAATACATTATTCTGTAGCTTAGATATAACAGCATTTACTTAATCCTTATGATTCTGTATTCACCATAATCAATGAGGCCTTTGATGCTTCTTCAAACCAACATAATTGCATGGACTGAGAGCTCGCTATGTTAGGTATGTTTTTGTTGACAATTTTCTCTTCTGTTTTTCTTTGCTCAGTTTTATCGGACAGACAGGAGAGCGCCCTGATCGAACTCATGGTGTGCACCATCCGCCAGTCTGCAGAGGCGCATCCTCCTGTCGGCCGCGGGACAGGCAAACGGGTAAAAACATACACACATAATGTCATAAGACTATAGAAAGACAGGTCTGGAGAACAAATGATGCATTGTTTGAAAGCCATTTCAATAATTATTGTAAAAATAGATATGAAGTCATGCAAAATGATCATATATCAATACACACAAAAGATGTACAGTATAACACGTTATCAATTAGAGTCCATATTATGAGATAATAAAGTGGCAGAACTGATAGATGGTGCTAAATACAACTCCAGGTATGTTTTGATCGAAGTTTGCTAAAAACATGCACAATGGGAATAAATGTAATGAGTGAGAGCATGGATGGTGGTGGTGACGGCCTTGATATCAGAATCAGAATCAGAATCATTTTTATTGCCACGTAAGCAAATGTGCTAGTGTGTTTGGCATCTCTCGCTTCCGTCGAGAATGGGTTGAATTGGTTCATTGTTGATTTAATCCAGTCTGTCTTTTTGTCCAGGTTCTAACAGCAAAGGAGAGGAAAACACAGATCGATGATAAAAACAAACTAACGGAGCATTTCATCATGGCCTTACCAATGATCTTATCAAAGGTAATGATGCTTTTGGTTCCCTGTATGTGTATGTGTATTAGGCGCACCTGTATATAACCCGCACCAGCAACATTGTAAAAGTAAGTACATTTTGTCCACATATAGGCCACACTTGAATATAAGCCACAGGTTTTAATTTTGTACTGTAGCAGATAGCATGACCGTTTTAACTGGACACAACATGATTTCATGACAAGGTGATGGTACTCATTCACCAGTCTATATTGACTATAAACAAGTGTCCTATAGCTACTAAAACATGATGGAGTCACAATATTAATTCCTTAACTCTGCTCTGACAACAGCCCAACTCTATCACTATAAAAAAACACATTTGCTGCACTGCTAAATAATTTATAGTGTTCAAAGGACTAGAAAAAAAATAGCAGATTATAGTCTTGAAATCAAGGCCTAGTTTTGGTACTTTTACCTCATCAATATTGTTCTATTCTTCCAGTACCAGGCTGACTCGGAGAAAGTGGCCAACCTCCTGCAGATCCCCCAGTTCTTTGACCTAGACGTGTACAGCGCCGGCCGCATGGAGAAGCACCTGGACGGGCTGTTGAAGCAGATCCGGCTGGTGGTGGAGAAGCACATAGAGATGGACGTGTTGGAGGCCTGCAGTAAAACCTACAGCATCCTGTGTTCCGAGGAGTACACCATCATGAACCGCGTGGACATTGCACGCTCGCAGCTCATCGACGAAATGACCGACCGCTTCACGCATTCGGTGGAGGAGCTGCTGCAGGAGGTAGGAGTATTAAGGATAAAGCGTGGGTTCTGAACGTTTGGAAGGAGAGGCTGCTGTCGGCTGCTGTCGAGAATCTATGACCCTGAGACTCATTCGTATATAATATGTACATTTTAGATCTCTATATTGATCAAAACTGTGTTAAAAAAGAGATGAAGCTAAAGGTTAGACCAGGCATGTCCCAACTAAGGTCCGTGAGCCAACTGCAGCCCTCTGTGGCCCTATGTGTCATGTTATGTGGCCCTCTGCCTTGCCATAAAGCACCATTGAAATCATACACACAGGTTCACATATCATCCAGCCAACTTCAGCTCCGCCAGTACACCCCTGCTATATCGCGTAACACTCAGAACCTCTGGATTCCAGTTAATTTGAATAAACAGACCGTTGTTTCAGATTGTGTCATAAACGTCCATATATGGCCCTAATTTTGCTCGAGAGAAAGTAAACATTTGTCATCCAGCCAACTTCAGCTCCGTCACATGTGAATCAGGACATAATGTCACCGCTCACATCAAAGCTCAGGACAGCCTTACTTCGGTCGACACACTTTTACAATCCATTCTGTCGGCCCCTGGACAAGTCTGGTGAACTAAAGTGGCATACCAGGGTTGTTCGAAACCTATGTCCTAAAATACAAATTTAGATCACTCTTTCTCACAACCTCAAGGATGGCAGAGACAAATATATATTGTGTGTGTGTTCTTACAGGCTGAAGAGGCTGATGACGATGACATCTACAACGTGTTATCCACTCTAAAGAGACTCACTGCCTTCCATAAGTAAGTTGCAGGTCACTTTCTGATTCCACAACAACAGTGCAGTACATGTTTATAATCACATGTTTGTCCCGTTCTCAGCGCCCACGACCTGACGCGCTGGGACTTGTTTGGAAACTGTTACCGTCTCCTCAAAGCAGGGATTGAACAGGGCTCGATGCCGGAGCAGATCGCGGTCCAGGCGCTGCAGTGCTCCCACTACTCCATCTTGTGGCAGCTGGTTAAGATCACCGAGGGGGCGCCCACCAAGGTCTGCATACAAAACAACTAAAGCAGAAAATTATTTTGTTTTAAAAAGATTAAAATGGCTCTGTCTATGACATTTTATTTATGTACAACCCTCCATCACAACAGCAGTCGACTCGAAGACTTCATATTAATTCATTATTAGGTCCGGCAGGAAGCTGTGGCTACAATAGTAGTAGTGTCCAAAAAAGTTGAATTTCAGAAGTAAATGGGGTTTTAAACAATATTCAAATTTTACAAGTTTCACTTCTCTTTATGTGTTTATTTTCTTTCTGATTTTAGTTTATTTTTACTCCGGCTGGAGTACTTAACTGATATTGGTTTCATGAAAACATGTTGTTTATCCCGAAAGAAAGAGTCTGATTTGATGACATTTTGTGAACAAATCAGACCACAACATGCTGTCTTCATCTTCAAAATATTTCATCTGAGGACAAAAATCCATGCATGTGAAAAGTAGTGATGGGACCAAACTGTTTGGAGAGCAAGGAACTAGGTGCACAGATTATATGACATGATTATTACTATTATTAGATTAAAAAGTTAGATACTCCAGCTTTAAATTACCCGTAATTGCAAACTTTGAGTCCATAGCTGGTGTCTTTCTCGTTCTAGTCCGAAAATCATCTTACGTGGCATTATGTAAGCGATCAGAGAGTATAAGTGCTCTCTTCATTAAAGTTTCATCAGGTAATTACTGCAGTTGTTCAGAGCATGTCCGTGTCCTGAACTGCCCTGTGTTATTATGGAGCTCCACCGGAGCGAGGTCTCTGCGGTTAACTGATGCTGTGAATGCTTCCAACGCAGGACGACCTGGTGGCGCTGAGGAGAGTGGTCAAGTCCTTTCTGGCCGTGTGTCAACAGTGTCTGTCCAACGTCAACACTCCAGTCAAAGAGCAGGTAAAGGATCAGTGTCATTGAGACGTTATTTTAACCTTTTATCTCTTTGGCTGCTTTCGACACTTGTCAATAACATGAGATTTGACCAACACGATGATAAATGAGTGTTTTGTATTCATAATGAACTGTTGAATGATTTCCCTCTCCCTTCCCTTATATCGCCTCGCTCCCCTCTCTCCTCTCTCTCCTCTCTCCTTTCTCCTCTCTTCTCTCTCCCCTCTCCTCTCTCCTCTCTTCTCTCTCCCCTCTTCCCCCTCTCCTCTGTCCTCTCTCTTCTCTCCTCTCCTCTCTCCTCTCTCCCCTCTCCTATCCCCTCTTCTCTGACCCCTCTCTCCTCTCCTCTCTCCTCTTTCCTCTCTTCTCTCTCTTCTCCTATCCCCTATTCTCTCCTCTCTCCTATTCTCTCCTCTCTCCTATTCTCTCCTCTCTCCTCTCCTCTCTCCTCTCTCCTCTCCCCTCTCTCCTCTCCTCTCTCTCTCTCCCCTCTCCTCTCTCCTCTCTCCTCTCCCCTCTCCCCTCTCTCCTCTCTCCTCTCCTCTCTCTCTCTCCTCTCCCCTCTCTCCTCTCCTCTCCCCTCTCTCCTCTCCTCTCTCCTCTTCTCTCCCCTCTCTTCTCTCCTCCCCTCTCCCCTCTCCCCTCTCTCCTCCCCTCTCTCCTCTCTCCTCTCTCCCCTCTCCCCTCTCCCCTCTCTCCTCCCCTCTCTCCTCCCCTCTCTCCTCTCTCCTCTCTCCTCTCCCCTCTCTCCTCTCCCCTCTCCCCTCTCCCCTCTCCCCTCTCTCCTCTCCTCTCTACTCTCCCCTCTCTCCTCTCCTCTCCCCTCTCTTCTCTCTCCTCTCCTATCCCCTCTCCTATTCTCTCCTCTCTCCTCTCTTCTCTCTCTTCTCCTCTCCCCTCTCCCCTCTCAGGCCTTCATGCTGCTGTGTGACCTCCTGATGATATTCAGTCATCAGTTAGTGTCTGGGGGCAGAGAGGGGCTGCAGCCGCTCGTCTTTAACCCCGACAGCACGCTTCAAAACGAGCTGCTCAACTTTGTGCTGGACCACGTCTTCATCGACCAGGACGACGAGAGCCAGAGCATAGGTGAGACCATCGACTGTGTACACTATACTAACCCTCTCAGGAGAGAAATGCTCATGGATGAAGTTTTGCTCCAACTCACCTTGGCTCCTATCGACTAACATTGAAAAGTAAAACCTTTCTGGCTATGGAACTCTTTGTGTCATACTCATCATTTTAGACTCAAATCTGCGGTGCTGTGTTCCCTATGGTCCTGGTGTTTGTAGTTTGGTGTTGTTTTTGTACATCCAGATATTAGTCATAATGATTGACTGAATGACACAAATGCCCATATAAGGAATTTGGCTTCAAACTAGCCAATATGGTCGCTCTTCTAATGGGCTTTTTCCATATTCAGCACTATGGGTGACGTCAGCACTCACTTAAGTCCACTCCTTCTACGGTTTAGCCGGTGAAAAGCGGAAAATGGTCAAATAATTATTTGCATCGAAAAAATTCAGACGTGCAAAGTAATTGTTGATAAACGTGGTCTGATGGATTGTGGCGTTTATCTACCGTTTGTGCAGAGGGAGACGAGGAGGATGAAGCCAACAAGATCGAAGCCCTTCACAAAAGAAGAAACCTCTTGGCTGCCTTTTGTAAACTCATCATTTTCGACATCGTGGACATGCCCGCAGCCGCTGACATTTTCAAACACTACATGAAGGTCTGTCCCAAAACATACCAGCAGTCATTTATACTCATTTTTACTCATATCTCCAATTTTCTCCTGGTTTTCAGTATTATAACGACTACGGAGACATCATCAAGGAGACTTTGAGTAAAACCAGACAGACGGACAAGATCCTTTGTGCCAAGACCCTCATCCTCAGTTTGCAGCAGGTGAGTTTTTGCATTGTCAGCACTATATATATTCAAGGGTCACTATTATGTATTATTATTATTATTCATTTATTGAAGTTCAAATAAAGTTTTTATCTGGTACTATAAGTTATATTGTGTTCATTTGACGAAGCAGTGTGCGTTTGAATTCCGCACATTCCACGCCCGAACCCTGGAAAGAAAGCTGAAAAATGATCCACATAGTCAAAAGTTTTTAACAATTTAATAAAGCCTGGCTCCTGTTTTTGCTGCAGTTGTTCAACGAGTTGCTTCAGGACCAGGGCCCAAACTTGGACCGGACCTCGTCTCATGTGAGCGGCATCAAAGAGCTGGCCCGGCGCTTCGCCCTGACCTTTGGCCTGGACCAGATCAAGACCAGAGAGGCTGTGGCCACGCTGCACAAGTGAGAGCCATTCTTGCTATGCACACACGGCAGAAACAAATCTCCAAAGTCTCCATCTTTACTTGATGAATTACTTGTGATTATTATGCAAAGAAATAGAGTGAAATGGGATAAACCTCAAGAAAACTATTGTGTAATTGTTGCGTTAGAGATGCCATTAGTTAAAATATTGCTATAAAAGTTTCTAACAAAGATATTGTGCCACAGCTCACCTTCCCTGTGAAAAGACGTATCTTAATCTTTACATGTTTTTTGCATACTCCATATAAACTACAGAGTTTTGTTCATCAAATACTGAATGCTTTTGTTCAAGGGACGGTATCGAGTTTGCCTTCAAATACCAGAACTCCAGAGGACCAGAGTTCCCTCCCATAAACCTGGCCTTCCTCGAGGTGCTCAGCGAGTTCTCCTCCAAACTTATCCGCCAAGACAAAAAGACTGTGTAAGTACAAGCTTCACCTTGTTCTTATTATTATCAAGGCCTTTCTCACCGGATTCCTGTCAACACTTGTTTAAAGCTGGGGGATGTAACTTTTGTGGCCTGATTTGTTCATTTACTTTTTTTATTTCACATGACTCCTTCTCTAGGACAAAAGTGTTGTCTATGATATTTATGAAGTTAGGTAGCTGTTTTGTTTATAAATCTGTTTTAATTTCAATTAGTGTCTTTTTTATTAATGTAAGCGCTTCATTATGGATCATTTTTTGTACTCAAAATGATTGATACTTTTATTGAAACATTTTTGCTTGATGAAAAGAGGACCAATCAAAACATATTTCAGACTTGTGTAATAGTTTAAAGTTATCATTCTATTATAGTCAATTGAATTACAGAAATTGTTGACATATTTTTCTGTTTTAGATTATGGGGATATTATGTGTGTGTAGCTTCTTCCTCTGCACTTTTCTATCACAGATGATGGGTTCAAAACTCATTACTGTAACTTTATTATAACAATGTTCATCCTTCACGGTGCGGTAGAGCAACATTGTATTGCATTTATTTATAGACTTTTATAAAACTGCAAGATTATCTGACATGTTTGTTCATCTGGAACTCCTGAACACAAGATCACTGGACCGGTTGAAATTGAAAACGTTCGTACAAGAACTGAACTTGGAAAGAGGGTGTCTAAAAATGTTTTGCATCTCAAGAGTTTTATTGTTTTCCAGTCTTTGCCAAGTTGGACACTTTCACATTGGATTAATCTTGGTTTTAGAATTTAAAAACATATCTCTACAAAATGTGCACTTCACATCAAGGAACCACACACACACACACACACACTCACTCATACACTAGTCTTGCCCAAGGACACACAGCAACAATCACCTCTGGGAGCTGGTTTCACACCTGCCAATCTGTGGGTCAGTCAATCTCACCCCTCAACCAATAATGTTTATGTCAGGAGCAGGATTTGAACCAACCTTGAGCTCAGAGGACATTTTGTTAGACATTTTAGTGAGATTATAGTTTATTTTAAGCACACAGTTATAAAGTGTCCAGTACAGCAGTGGTTGTGAGGACACTGAAAGTAAAACACAGAAAACTCACTGAAACTTGACCCTTTTATTATTATTGTGCTTATGTTTGTGTGTTGTGCAATGGGGAGCCTGTGAAAAAGAGTCCTACTTGTATAAATAAAAAACCATTCTAAATCGATCAAATTAAAACGTATAAATGCTTTAAATAATGAAGTGCGATGTGAATGTGTCCACAGCCACTCGTACCTGGAGAAGTTCATGTCGGAGTCCATGTCGGAGCGCAGGGAGGACATCTGGCTGCCTCTCATCTCCTACAGGAACAGTCTGCTGACGGGAGGAGACGAGGACCACATGTCGGTCACCTCCGGCACCAGCAGCAAACCCGGATCAGTGCGCAGCAAGAAGGGCCGGCCGCCGCTGCATAAGAAACGCATCGAGGGTGAGTTACGCTGACGACCAGGCACAGCTCGCAGACGATTTTACATTCATACATGTCGAGAATCACCAAAGCAAATGAATAGGCAGCCCTTGAGAATCCTATTTTAAGTTAGGTTTGAGATCTGTGGAAAAGAATATACTTGAATTATGCATAATGACTTTTTTTTTGACAAAAAGTGGAGCCCTGAAACTTAAATAAACATTAAAAAAAAAGTATGTTGTGGGAAGCTTGGTCACTGTATAGAAAGTACGTCACTCCCAGTCCACTACTACCTTTTGAAATCCTTATCTGTCTGATGTACAGGGATTTTGGCTCAGTGTGAAATAGTTTTTGATAAATCATGAAAAAGTGAATGTCCTATTTTTATATTTAGTATGATGATGATCCACAGACATCATAAATAAAAACTATTATAGCAGACAACACACAAGCTGTATTTAATTTGACCTCAAAACAGACTGTGTCCATAAGAATAACAAGATTTGGTTTTTGGCTTTTTAGCGGAGGAGAGCAGCGTGGAGGGCTCGTGGCTGATGCGTAATGACACTTTACCGACACCAGGGGCGCTGCAGACGCCTCAGCTCACATCCACAGTGCTTCGAGAGAACAGACCAGCTGAACACATGGGCGACCCAGACTCCGAGCCTGGCTCCGAGAACGACTTTGTGCACAAGTGAGTGTCTGAAGGAACGCACACACACACACATACACCCACACTGAGACATTTACCCAGTTATTAAATATAGTTTTGTGATGTTATAATAGAAAGTGAACCGTATTTTGTTTTTGGGTGCTTAGTCCTCAGATGCAGATGTCGTGGCTAGGGCAGCAGAAGATGGAAGAGGTGAACCGGAAAGACCGAACAGGAATGAACTACATCAAGTCTCGCAGCAATCAAGGCGTGCGGCAGACGGTGTATGTAGTATTTCAATGATCGTAATGGTTTCTCATTCACTACTAGGTTGTGTTTATGCTCTCGAATTGTATTTAATTTGGAGGGCAGGGGCTAAAACAACTCTATAGGAAAGAAGCAATATCTGAATATTTTCCCAGACCATTATCTGACGGTGATTAGATACAAGAAACAAGATACAAGAATTGATTTGCCATTTGCAGTAAAACCACATTGGAAAAACTGTGCAAGACTAACTCAGTGTGCACCAGGAGACTGCACACACCAGAGCCACGATAACGTTGAGGTTAACCAATCGAATCACGCCAAGGGCTGTCAATCATCGGCGCTGATACTCGTAGCTGCGCATGCTCAGTTGTTTGTTTTCGCGGAGCCTCCGAATCAAGCCTCTATTAGGCTCTGGAACAACATGAAAACTGAACAAAGAATTCTGAACATCCGCGCTGAGGTACTTATGTATATACTGAACCTATGTCCATAATCAGATCCTCTGCAGATGTGTCCTATAATGTGTAATTCATGATAATAGCTTCTTCCGGGTTTGCAGCGATCACTTTTTTTGTGCATAAAAACATAATTTTTTTTATTAAAATGTTAACAAATAATTCTGAAAACCTCAGTGCATGTATATTAATAATGTATATGTATAATGTGTTTTCTGATTAACATTTGAAAGTGTTACGGAAACATAGGTGTAGACCAATCAGAAAGGAAGGGGGAGGAGCTTGCGTCGTTTTTTTCAAATCAAGTATCACTTTAAGTCCCTGTTGCTGTTGTTCCTCTGTGTTCAGGCGAGGTTTGATGGAGGACGACGCAGAGCCGATCTTTGAGGACGTGATGATGTCGTCGAGAGGTCAGCTGGAGGACATGAACGAGGAGTTTGAGGACACAATGGTCATCGACCTGGTGAGCACAAGTCCAGATTAATCCACTCCTGTTCTCCTCTTGGTTTAGTTAGCCCGGTGTGTCCTTTTTTAGTAATTATTGGAAATAACTTGATTTATCGGTTTGTTTTTAGCCCCCATCTCGAAACAGACGCGAAAGAGCCGAGCTAAGACCGGACTTCTTTGATTCAGCAGCTATGATTGAAGACGAATCGGTTTGTGCTTTTTACCACAATTGATCTTGTTTTTTTCTCCATTAATTTTCCCTTTGACTTTTCTCTCTCTCTCTCTTTTGCAGGGATTCAGCATGCAGATGTTCTGATTTGGTAAAAACGCAGATATTATTATCAGAATTCAAATCAGGACTACAGCAGTTTCTTGGGGGACGTCCAGTAAATCAAACTGTTAACAAAGAAGAGAAGAAACGTTGCTCTTTCTTCGCCGATGGACGTTTGTGAAGTTTATTCAACGTTGGGGGTTCCTCTCCTCTTCAGACATGGGTGGACCACGTTCTCCCTGCTCAGCCTGTTAGCGTGTTAGCAGTAGCTTGGAAGGCGCTTTTGGTCCAACTCATTTCAGCAGTTCCGGCTCATTCCCACACGGGACGGGTGCGTGTACAGTTTTTTTTGGGACTGGACCACAGAAATACACTGTACAGCTCCCAGTTTTGGTGTTGCACTTCGATCCGCCTGGTTCCACATAGAGGATCACTACTAAATGTTGTATATCTTTGCTCTTACTGTCCCAGTCCATCTCCTGTCTGTCCAGAAGAGTGCTGCCATGTTGTGCTAGAAATTAGGGCTGCACAATAAGAGGTAAAACCATAGGATTTGAATACTGTATACTTGTATGTTTTCATAATCTAGGGCTCTTCAAGAGATACAAAATTGGGACTTTTGTGGAAAACTTGAAATTAAAAGATATTTTATATTTTGATTGGTCAAAACAAAGTCCTGCAAAAAGAATTCCTAATAGGATCAGTTTTAGTAATTAATATTGTAATCATTTCCACTGCAACAGATGATTTAAAATGCTTTTATCGAAATGCTTGGGGTAAGAATGGATCTTGATTTGCCGATTTCAAGATAAGTTCTACTTCAAGCTCAATTTTCTGCAGCGTGCACAGTGTGTGTTTTACTGAAATTGGGGTGCTTGAAAACTATGCCACATCAAACACACATTTTAGAATCAGCTTTAAAAATGAAAGAACAATTAAATCAATGCCGTTGTGTATTTTAACCGCATCAATCTCTTTTAGCCTTTTTTTCTGAATTATTTGACCGTGCTTCCTCGCCAGGTAAAAGGTTGACGGCAACATATATTAATCATAATATAGATTTCTATTTTTTTAAACTACGTGCAGCGCTAATTTCGAGTACACAGCCACACATGCACTCGCACAGGCCCAGAGGGAGTGGACGATGCACTGGCCTTGGACTGGTTGGACAGCCCTTCTGACGTTTCGGTTCAGCACACTCCTCCTGTTCAAGTTTTTAAGTAAAATATAAAAGACAATAAACATATTTTAAAATCAGTAGCTTTAGTACGGAAAAGTTTTAAGTGTTTTTGTTCTGTCCGATGTTTGTACAGCCTTTCTTGATATGTATTATCTTGTTTGTTGCCAAACCTTGTGGCCTACATATTTCCATATTACATATTTGTATCATGCTATAAGATTAAGAGCGCTGTATGGTTTTGATTGTATGCAGTTCACATACTTCAGTTCGAATTGACCGTATTTCACAGATTTTATTCCTACAACAGTGTTATTTAATCTGATGTTTGTATATCGGTGCAGTGATGGGTCTCTATGGCTTGTTTGAATGTGTTCATATCATTGTTAAATCAATCACATCCTCGGCGGCAGTCCCCCTGTGAAACGTGAGGAGACGGTTGGCACCAAGTCGTTCGAAAAGCTCTTACAGCCTGTTTTTGTTTAAGCCCTAAATTCTTTTTAATAAAATAAAACCTGTAATCAGTTTATTGAACGTCGCTGTGAGTATGTTTTTGTATCGCTGACATATTGGACCATCAACTTTTTGAGGTGAGTCCGCCTACAAAGAACACATTTCTCATTATGAACAGGTTTTAGAGGTTGCCTTCATGCAACATCACAACATTCCAAAAGGCCTATAGTTTAAAATAGTGGAGGGCGGTTGAGCAAGCTTAACTGTCAAAAGTCAAGATTTCTAGTCTAGGTTTAGAGCTTATTTCTATACTTTCTGGGCCAATCCACATGAAACATCAGTAATCTTCTCATAAAGCTGTCTGGAAATTATATCACAAAAAAAAAAAACGTAGACGTTGGCAGTTACAAATTAATTTCAGACAAAAGGGATCTAACCTAATCACTTATCAAATAATGATTTGGGGAACATTTGGACATTTTCTATAGTGTATTGGCACCTGCCGTTCCAACTGAAATGCAGTTCTAGAACATGCACATTGCAAAGCTTTAAAATAAGGGATGGAACAAAAAGGAAATGTTTTGTAAATAGTGAAATGCAGAAAAAAACTTTGAAATATTTCTAGTTATTTCCATCTCTCTCCTTTTTGGCACATCCTGAGTTATGACAGGCATACTGTACATGTTTGGCCACCAGCGTACAGCTCCTGAACTAATTCTGGGTGGATTACTCCTGCAGCGGCCCATTGTCTCTACCCTTAGAAGAGGCAATGCTTGTAATGATTTCTCTTTCGATGAAGATGATACAGTATGAAGAGAATATTTGTCACTTTACAAAACTATCCATGCAGAGGAAGGAGCATGTTTATGTTTGGTCCTATATTAGTCTTTCATGCCACACATCAGTCTGCATGCTGGCCTTTTCTCTGTCTGCTTTCCCTGAATAGACCCGTTTCCCCTTTGCAACAGTGACTGGACATAATACATTGACAAAGAACTAATAAGCATTATGTAATTTGAAACACTGCCAAAGAAGTATTTTGTCACAATTATGATTCCATGGGACTTTAATTTTCTCTTCAGTATAATGTATAAAACATGACCTCTGCATTATTCAAATCAAGACGCATTTATTATTACACAAAGAGGTGAAAATGATGATTATTTAGAATAGAAGGCACGGTACAGTTTCATGACCTCATAATCCTAACCCCACAGAACAGAGTGATAGTGTAGCTTTTTGACTGCTTCCATTTCAACCAATATGGCGAACTAGATATAAAATGTTCATCTCAAAAGTAATTCCCAACTGATCATTTTCTGACCATATCACTCCCCTTTGACTTTTCTCAGAAACATCAAAACTGTCAGAAGCGCAAGTGTATTCCGGGTCCGAACTCAATTATAACTACATCCTCCACGGTTAAAAATATGAAGGAAGTCTTATGTAATCTGTAACATCGCTAAAACAGTCTTTCATAGAGGAATGTTGGCGTGCTTCTTCCAGGGATTGGTCTGCTGCTTACTGGCCAGGACCTCCAGATCTCTGCAAATCTTCTTTCGAGTCGTTGCTGGCTCGATGATGTCGTCCACAAAACCTAAACGTAGCAGGATATTGAAAGGTCAAATAACTGGATTTACAAGAGGAAAATATTTTGGCCAAGGTATTTTAGATTGGTGAATTTTGGATGCACCTCTGACAGCAGCGGGGAAGGGATTTGCAAATGTTTCCACATATTCTGCCTCCGCCTCGGCCTGGTTCTCTTTCCCTCTGAAGATGATCTGAACGGCGCCCTGTGTAAAGATACAGACAAGAACTTAATACAGTTATAAAACAAGTTAAGGCCCAAAAAGAGCATGAAGTATTGGACTGAACCCTTCTCTGCTTCTTTTGTTTCGCCCTAATAACAAGCAATACGTGAATGAAAAGCAGGTTTAATACTTGGACGGCAAATGTGCGTATTTTCCAAAACCAGTAGGGGGCTTTATGGAGGAGAGCACATGATGAAAACAAAGCCTAATCAAAAGAGACATTGAGGTGGCCCATTATTTTAGTAGTGGACTAGCCAGTGATAAAAGGTTAAGGTATATCACATAATTCTAAGAGGGCTTATCTTTTTTTTTACCTGGTAACTATGGTAAGTGTCCAGAGTCAGACTTCTCTTAGTTTAGAGCTAATGTCCACATGAAACACATGGCCAGAACACAGGACGTTCACATAAGAAAAATGTGGTGGATTTATGAATCTAACCCCCACCATCAAATAATAATCTGAGAAAACATTGACAACTTATTTTTCTAGATTTCTTTCAAAAACTGCATATCTCCCATAGAGCTTTATTAGCACCTTTCCTCCAACTGAAATGGAATTCTCGAACATGAACACCACCTATTGCTTCGATCGTGTTCATTTATTTGAAAAACACTTGCAGAATAACTTTTATACAGAAGTAATATGCTGATACTGTTGATCTGCAGCCCATGCCCTTTTTTTATATTTTTATAACTGTCTGCACCCGTTTTTATTCTGATGTTTTGATTGTGTTTAACTTGCTGTAGCACGTTGAGATGTGTTTGCATATGTAAGGTGCGTTAGCAATAAAATCTATTATTATCACTACTATTAATATGTGTAGAAAAACAAAAAACAATGCAATATACCAATGTCATACCTTTGCACCCATCACAGCGACCTCCGCAGTGGGCCAGGCGTAATTCACGTCTCCTCGTAAATGTTTGGAGCTCATCACGTCATAAGCTCCGCCGTACGCCTAGAGCATCAACACAACCAAAGTTCAAGTCTGTACAGAAGTGGATCAGGGATGTTGTGATGTGCGGTATGAGTGAGTCCTTTAGGATGTCATTAGCGTTATAGCGAAATACAGCTTTCTCACAACTTAAATATGCGTTGTCGTGCATAGTTCATCTCCTCATGGTCGTACGTACCTTTCTTGTAATGATGGTGATTTTGGGAACGGTTGCCTCAGCGAAAGCATAGAGCAGTTTGGCTCCGTGTCTGATGATGCCTCCATACTCCTGCGCTGTACCTGAACACAGTCACATTACACACGTTACTGAATTACTTTGCCGACGTCTAAATTCAGGAGAGAAATGTTTTTTAATATATGACTGGTTTTTTGAAATTGTGGTTTTAAATATTTCTACAGATTGCCCTAGTTTGAAATGAGTTAAGACCATTATTTGATTATGGTTTTGTATAGTTATATTGTGTGTGTGTGTGAATATGTATACGAAATATAACTAGATATATAATATTGTATGTATGCATGTTTTTATTTTTTAAATGCTATACTTCAGTCTAAGTTATTGGCATGGGAAGATTGGTTGCTGAAATATCTCTGTCCAAACAATATGAATGCTTATAATGTGCAAAAAATAATAATAAAATAAAATAAAGACATACCTGGCAGGAACCCTGGTACATCCACAAAAGTAACGATGGGGATGTTGAAGGCGTCACAAAAACGAACAAAGCGTGCTCCTTTTACTGAAGAGTTAATATCCAGACAACCTGAGAAAAGGCAAAGACATATAAAAACGTTGTCTATATAAAAAGGCAAATATATTTAAAAAAAAAAATTGTAGTTTATTTTGTCATTACCAGACGCCACTTTGGGCTGGTTCCCCACGATGCCCACGGTGCGTCCATTCATTCGTGAAAATCCCACCACAATATTTTTGGCGTAATTGGGCATAATTTCAAAAAACTCCCTTTCGTCTGCAATCTGCACAAATAAATAAATCTTTTTAGAGCTTGTGTATGTTCCTAGGTCCTGGTTAAATGCACTATATCCCATGTAAGACGTACAGCGTGTATTATGTCCAACATGTCGTAGGCTTTGGTCGTCTCAAACGGTACAATGGTGTCTAAAACTGGCACCAGGCGATCGCTGTAAACAAAAGAAAATGAGAAATGCTGTTCTAATCGTTGAGTGTTAGTGTCCGTGTTTTAGTGCGGTCTCTTTGCCTTGGGTCGTGACACTCTCTGACGGGTGCGGGATCTTTGTTACTGAGGGGAAGGAAGTTGAAAAACTCTCTCAGGTTGAGAAGCGCGTCAATGTCATTTTCAAACGCCCGGTGAGCCACACCTAGAGTGCACATTTTAATAATTTGTTGCATTTAAAAGTGTGTGTGTTGTTAAAAATGTATCATATATATTAAACCTTAAGAAACTAACCAGAGACGGTGGTGTGTGTTTTAGCTCCTCCCAGCTCCTCCTGAGTTACATCTTCATTTGTGACTGATTTTACAACATCTGGACCCGTAATGAACAGGTACGATGTGTCCTATCAAAGACAAAAGAGAAAACATAGTATTGTACATATCTATTTCACAAGTTTCAGTGTATTCCCAGAGTTAATGTCAGTACTCTACCTTGACCATGAATGTAAAATCAGTCAGTGCTGGTGAGTAGACTGCTCCTCCAGCGCAGGGGCCCATGATGAGGGAGATCTGAGGCACGACACCGGACGCCATGACGTTCCTCTGAAAAACAAATCCCAATGAACGTAAACACTTATCAGTCAATACGCCTTCAGTTGTTTAGGGCCCGATCACATGTTTGTCTGCTTCACTTGAGGGAAAGATGAGATAAACCTCTATTCATCCCACAGTGGGTAAAATTCAATGTCATTATGGCGCACCGTACAGGACAATAGAAGGAAGAAATAAGCTCACTCAAGTTGCACACATCAAACAGGATATATTATTGAAGTCAGATAATAAAATAAAATGCTCCACAGATCTATAAACAGTCTCCAAAATCAACTGTTCTATTTTCACCAAGTCACATCCATCCACACTTATGTCTGGAACGTCTGTAATGGTATGTCATTGTACCAGTCATTTCAAATTTCTGAAAAGAAAACATAATAACACCTTCCTCCGGTGGTAACACAGGGATAAGACGCCCTTGATACTTCACCAAATATTTTAGTTTAACATTCTATAAACAATAAATAACAATAATGATTGTAAATAGTCTCACAATCAATTTTAACAGCTAATAAAAATAATACGTGTTATTTCTTCTTTAAGTGACCAGTGGACAGATGTTCACTTGTTTGGTGATTGTACATCCACAAAAGAAAGCATTTTTGCCCCAAGTGATTCAGAATTGCATTTATGTAAAAGATGTGGATTCAACTTATGTTTGTGAACATATAATAAATAAAATAGCTCCAGTTAAAGTGAACCAGACCAACAAGTGTGAGAGCGACCTCAGAAACTATGGATCATTTTCTTGTTTTATAGAGGACAGAGCTGTTTTACTTTGAAAGTCATTGCAATTGACCAGAAACAGATGTATTTGTGGTATATTAAAAGTACCATTGCCACCTCAGTGAATACAAAACTCTTGTAATTTCTGCCAGCAAATATATCACACATGGATACCGTTGCCCCTGTGAAGGTTAAAACAGTGAAAAATAAGCAGAAGGCGCCTTGGGCTAAAGCAGACTCGGTCAGGGCACAAAAGAGAAAGTGCCGGAGGGCCGAGCGGAAGTGGCGCAAGTCCAACCTCCTGATTACGAGATCTTCAAAGATAAGTTGTGCGAGTTTAACCGGGTGCTACGTAGTACGAGAGAAAGGTATTTTTCTGAAATGATTGAAGGCTGCAGCAACAATCTGCGTGTTCTGTTCTCAACAGTTAATAGATTAACAAACCCCCCTGTTCAAATGCCATTAGAGCTTACTTCCAAACGTAAATGCAATGAGTTTGCTAATTTTTTCAATGACAAGGTTCAAGGCATCAAAAACGCCATTGTCTCCAATCCACAGATAACCATCCAACAGCCAGAAAGGCTCTCTGAGCTAACTCACTTTGCACCTGTAAATGATCAAACTGTCCAAGAGATAATCTCCAGTTTGAGCTCCTCCACATGCAGCTTGGATGTACTACCCACTAGATTTCTGAAGTCTGTTCTGAGCAGTCTGTTACCTTCACTCACACAGATAGTAAACATGTCCCTTCATTCTGGAATATTCCCAAAGGCCATGAAAACTGCAGTCATCAGGCCCCTGCTAAAAAAGAGCAGTCTCGATGCTACGGTACTTAACAACTATCGTCCCATCTCAAATCTGCCATTTATGGGGAAAGTCCTTGAAAAAGTTGTCTACCTACAGCTTACTAGATTTCTTATAGTCAACAACTCATTTGATATGTTTCAGTCCGGCTTTAGACCCCACCACAGCACTGAGACTGCTCTCGTTAAGGTTACAAACGATATCCGGCTGAACACTGACGCAGGCAAAGTCTCAATCTTAATCTTGTTAGGTCTAAGTGCTGCCTTTGACACCGTCGACCATGAGATCCTCTTACAGAGACTAGAGGACTGGGTTGGAGTCGCTGGCACCGCCCTAAGTTGGTTTAGGTCTTACCTTGAAGGACAGGAAGTACTTTGTGGAGATTGGAAACTGTGTCTCAGATCATATGGCCCTGACCTGTGGAGTCCCACAGGGGTCGATCCTGGGACCTCTTCTGTTCAATCTCTACATGCTGCCGTTAGGTCAGTTAATACGCAGAAACGAAGTGTCCTATCATAACTATGCAGACGACACTCAGATCTATGTCTCACTGACTGCAGGAGAACATGGACCAGTGGACTCACTCCTTCACTGTATCCAACAGATCAGTGAGTGGATGCAAAACAACTTCCTTCAGCTAAACGCAGACAAAACTGAAATGATTGTCTTTGGTCCCCAGAAACAAAGAGAGAGCGTCATCTGTCACCTACAGTCTCTCTCCCTAAAACCTTCAAACAAGGTCAGAAATCTAGGGGTAATACTGGACTCAGACTTAAATTTTAATAGCCACATCAAATCAGTAACATCAGCAGCTTTTTACCATCTAAAAAACATTTGCCAGGATCAAAAACATAGTGTCTAAAGCAGACCTGGAGATTCTTATCCATGCATTTGTCTCCAGTAGGTTAGACTACTGCAATGGCCTGCTCACAGGTCTGTCCAAACAGGCTGTAAAACAGCTGCAGTACATTCAAAATGCAGCAGCTCGAGTCCTGACTAGAACCAGGAAGTACGACCACATTAGTCCAGTTCTCAGGTCTCTGCACTGGCTTCCTGTGGCTCAGAGAATAGACTTTAAAACAGCTCTGCTTGTGTACAAGTCTCTCCATGGCCTCGCACCAAAATATATTAGTGACATGTTAGTCCCATATGAACCAGCCCGGACTCTGAGGAGCACAGGGACTGGACTCCTGTTAGTGCCCAGAGTCAGAACTAAACATGGGGAGGCTGCTTTTCAGATTCATGCTGCTAAAATCTGGAACAGTCTTCCTGAAGATGTGAGACAGGCCTCCTCTCTGACAATGTTTAAAACCAGGTTAAAGACAGTTCTGTTTAACTGTGCATACAACTGAGGGATTTTCTATTTGTATCTTACTTTTTAATGTTCTGTGATAATTTATGATTTTAATGCTTTCTTGTTTTGTTCAGCACTTTGAATTGCCTTGTGTATGAATTGTGCTATATAAATAAACTTGCCTTGCCTTGCCATGTATTGCATTAACAAGCATAGGTGTTTTGCTTTCTCTTTTACACGTTCACACTTGTTTATAGAGTGATTTGTGCATGTGAGTGATTTATATTCCACCCTGGCTCCTCTAACCACCAACTCATGGCTACAGGTTTTCTTTTCCGGAATCTTTGATTGCAAACTTAATCTGTGGAGCCTGCTATAACCAGATTTCTGCAGACGTGAGTGGGTGGACTAGATACTTTCATTACTTTAGATCAATATGGATTTTCAAAGTCTACTAAATGTATGCCATGGGTGTAATCACAGATTCCTACTATAAAAGGCAGGTAAAAACATGTTATGTTTCTTTAATATTTCTCAGCTGTGTTGAGGTCGTACCAAGAAAATATCTGCATATCCTGCAAGAGACTCGACACCTTCTTGAATTCGAGCTCCACCAGAGTCGTTTAATCCAATCACTGGCGCCCCGACCATCATGGCCTGGTCCATTATCTAAACACCAAGCACAATACGTTATTCATTCATGCCACATATGCACACCAACTAACAACATTTGTAATCTTACTTTGCATATTTTCTGTGCATGCGCTCCAGACAAGCTGCCACCAAACACTGTGAAGTCCTAACAGAAACAAAAATATCAAAAAGAGAGTTCAGTTCTAGTGGTATAATTTTTGGTTAATTTTCCCATGTGTGTAAGTGAATGTGTGTTCACCATATTTAAAAAAATATTCATCATCATCATCATCATAAAAATATATAGATAGAGAAATATACTTTAAGTTCAAGTTGAGGTAAACTAGAGTGCCTTTATGTACCTGGCTGAACACATAAACGAGTCGCCCATTTATTCTGCCTCGGCCGGTCACCACACTGTCACCAGGAAACTTAAGAAAATAACAAAAAGGTGTTTATTTTACACCATTGAAACCAAATTATTCTAGTAGCAATCGCGATATACTTTGTTTTTATCCTGTTCCATGCCAAAATCCGAGCAGCGATGCTCCACAAACATGTCCGACTCCACAAATGATTCTGGGTCCAGTAGAAGCTCCACTCGCTCCCTGGCTGTCAGCTTTCCCTGCAGCACACAAAGTAATTATTATTGACTGATGCATAACACTTGCCACAAAACTGAATCCACACTACTTCTTCATCTTTAGATTTCTGCAGAGGCAATGTATTTGATGTTATTGTCAATACATTTTTAAATCTTCCAAACACAAGGATAAGCTATATAATTTTCTGTAAATACTATTTACAGAAAATATAGCATGATTTATTCGTACACCAGTAGACAAAAACAATGAACAGGATACAAAAAAAAATCAACAGCATATTAATCCACTCAGACAGTTTCATGTTTATAATAATACAATGAACCTAAATATGGGATAGTCGTGTCAAAATAATTGTATCCTGTGAATTTCTTTGAAAGTTTGCAACTAGCTTTTTCAATAATGACAATTGTAGGCAACAATGTTATACATTTTAAGTGGCTTAATTGACGATGAACATACCTTCAAATCGACATACATCTAACTGAGATTATTATATAGACTAGCAAACCCGAATGAGGTAGCAAGCCTCTGTATAAGGGGGGGACTTAAGAGTTTACAGTCCAGTGAGAGCAACTTGCAACTTGCAAGGTTACTATTTGCTGAAAGGAGTTTTTAATGAGTACATCGTTAAAGGTCTTTCGCAAATGGAAATTGTAGTAATTACGGTGTTTGTACATAAATTAAATATGTGAGAGAGGTCTTATTTACCCTTTTGTGTTGTGCATCAATCCTGTGTTGACCTCCGCCAACCAACGCGGCTCTTCGCTTGTTGTCGATCCTCTCCTTCACGGACAGGCTGGACACAGAGTACCAGCGCCATGGCGTTTGTTGACTGCATTGTTGCACAGTCTGCACATGTTTAACTTGAGTCAAAGTCCTGAAAGACCTGAGCCCATGAAGCACTCTGCAGCCGCTGCGAGCTACACACAGCGCCGCCATGTTGGATTGATACAGTGACAGGGGTGGGGCAGGCACGAGGGACACTTCAGCCAATGGGGAGCGGTGGATGGCGCCCTCAGCCAATCAGAGACACCAGATTCTTCAAGTAAATCGTAGAACACACCAAATGCGTCATGTCATAAGAAAGTCTGATAACAAACAATCAAACCTTCACATTGCTGATGTTTATCGACATAACTTATATGTTGGATGGTGTCAAGGTACAATGACTGTGTAGTAATGCATTATACTTCCATGGAAGTTCCATACATTGAAGTCGTTCCATAACACCAGTATGTTTTTCTCGTTCTTCATCTTTACATCACAACGCGGTTGTTGTTTTTGTTGTTTGGGCATTAATCTTTGCATCAGCATCTATTGATCAATTTGCACATCCTTCGCAGAATGGTTACCATAGGTAACAAGGGAGATATCGCGTGATGATCGACCGAAAACATGCGAACAATTAGAAGGAAATCTCGCGTGTTCTCGAAGCCTGTCGCTGAGAGGAAAAGTCGAATAGCAAATGATTGATGCCTTGGGAAAACGGCTCGTTAGCTATGTTTAAACGGGGAACCACAAAGTCCTATCCTATCGTGAACGTATTTTGAAGAGCATCTCAAGGGACTGTGAAAATCTGTTGTATTTTTTTGCGGCTGAGAGGGACCAAGGGGCTTGGTTTCACCGTATATTTGTGCTTGCAATTCAGTTAGCCGTGCTAATGCTAACTGGTTAGCTTTGTTTACATGAAGTGCGCGCCTGGATCACTGCTTTTTCCTCTCTAAACACATTTGGACATTTTAAAGCGATACAACGACCACTACTGCATCATAGAAGACTCTCTTTTAAATCCTGCTTGGATTATATGTTCCCACTAGTCAACTCATTTTAAACGCTTGGCTGATGTCGGAAGCTAGTACCAGCACGGCAATGCTAACCTTTTGATCATGAATTGTGTGATCGCATAATTCTTTGTTGGGACTAATGCGTCCATGGGCGCAATGTGAGTAGATGTAGCAAGGCTACGCACCTCTGCGGTCTATTATCAAGCCTACTGCTCTTCTAAATTCGTGCTTTGTTGGGATACAATGCATTGGACCGGAGGTGCTAACATTAGCTAGCCACCTGCCGTGAACGTGCTTGTACTGTAGCCGCCACACTATGATCGCTGCCTGTTGTGGTGTTTATTAATAATTCATACTATGGATGCATTGAGACACTCGGGTGACTGATTGCTGCTTCACTACTCGGTGTTATTTCCCGCTTCCTCTTGGGGCTCGGTGTTGGCCTTTCTCAGTTGCAGAGAGTACATTTTTCCCGGGCCGTGTTTCCCCAGAGCAGCAGAGGAAACATGAACGGACTAAACGCCACAGCGCTGTACGTGTCTGCCAGCCGGGCCGTGCTGCAGTGTGACCCGCGGCAGCCGCACACTTTCACCGACATGTACACCCTGCTACCCTTCTTCCGGCAGTCCCTGTCCTGCTTCGTCTGCGGTGAGTACGCTGCTGTGGTGGTGCAGCATGTTATTGCATTAATGCGGCCTGAGAATAATGTGATAATGAATGTGAATATTGGACACAAATAACACAATTATAATAATTATGATAATGTGTTATTGACGTGACTCGTGGGCGTGCGTGTGATTGATCGTGTTCGCGCAGAGACCGTCTCCATAGTAACCGCTGTCATGTGTGCTCGAGTCGGGACAGATGACTCCTGTTGTGCTGCTGCAGAGCCATGTGTTTCTATTCATGCTTTATTTACTCGCTCTGCAGAGAGACAGCCACATAATCACTGGCTCAGCTTGTCTTTTATGGTTTCAATAATTATAAGTATTGAAATTATTGATACTATTTCTGCAAACACTCATAGATTATTATAATAATTTCATAAAGGAAAATAAATATTTAAAGACACAATATTGGTGGGATTTTACACAACCAATTTGAATAATTTAATAAATACATTATGTGCATTAATTTTTGCTGTTCTTGCCTCAGGTAAACTACTCCAGGATCCCATCTCCCCTGCTCCTCCAGACTGTGGACACAGTGTCTGCTCTAGTTGTAAAGGCCAGAAGATGCGAATCAGACTGTCGTGTAATCGATGTAAGGACTACTCATTGTTCCAGGAGAACAAGCAGCTATCGCTGCTTGTTCAGTGCTATAGGAAGCTCTGTGTATATGTACTGCATTCGCCCCTGCTACAGTCTATAAGCAGCACGGGCGGCTCTCCTGATATCATGGCCTTGTTAGATGAGGTGTTGATGACTGAAGAGGAGATGGACGATCTAAACTTGGTGCAGGAGGAGTCATCTACTGCCCCAGAATCCCTCACACCAACAGAGGCTCCTGCTTTGTCTACGGAGGTGTCTGCTGCTCCACAGTGCTCCTCAGAGGCCCCATGTTCAAACGGACCACAGGAGTGTAACGGGGAGTTGCTGGAGGACCTGGACCCTTCGTCCCCAGAGCTAGAAGTGTGTGAGCTAGTGGAGGAGCCATCCACTGCTCTCTCAATGTCTGCTGCCAGCTGTGGGGGCCTGGAACTTAGTCTGACTACTGCTCCTTTAGCTACAAGCACGGGCACCATTTGCTCACTCAGGGATGGAGATGCAAGCAGTAGGGAGCTGGAGGAAGGAGAGGTGCTTCTTCTCAGTGTTGAGGAGGTCTTACAGACTCTAGACCCCCTGCAGCCTGGTAGAGACTCACCTCTTTCAGAAAGGACACACTTGGGCTCAGACCGAGGGCATACGCAGATGTACATTCAGCTGGACTCGGCCCATAACTATACACAGATACAAACAGACAGGACTAACACAGTGACCGCTCATAGTGTTCACACACATACACCTTCCCTCGACCCTCCACCAATCCGCCTTAACCGGAAACGCTCTCATTCAGAGAGTGACAGGGAGAAGGTCAAGCCCCTCCCCATCTCCTCCATCCTTCAGGGCTCTACGTCTCATGTACATACTAACCCCTCCCACACACTGCTGCACTCACAGACCTCTGTGCCCTCTATAACTGTTCCTGCACACACATACTCATCTCTCTCAAATGGAACACCTCCCAAAACCAGTCGACCTGTACATAACCACAGTAAAGGAGCCAGAAAGCACGTCGACCCAAACCCTAAAAAGCCCCATGCCAAGCCTCGGACCAGTGGAGGTTCCAAATCCAAGGACCGGAATAAAGAACAGCGTCTGTTGTCGGGCTGCATCATCCCCACAGGGCCGGTCCGACCTCAGTATAAAAAACCAGTGGAGAAGAAGGGTTGCAAGTGTGGCAGAGCGACGCAGAACCCCTCTGTGCTGACCTGCAGGGGGCAGCGTTGCCCCTGCTACTCAAACCGTAAGGTGAGAATGAAGACATGGAGTCTCAATCTAGCATAGCACCTTTATTAGGAAAAGATTTTTGCTTGTGTCCTTTTTGAAGCTAATATTTCAAATGTGTTCATTCCCACCAGGCCTGTCTGGACTGTATATGTCGCGGGTGTCAGAACTCCTACATGGCAAACGGTGAGAAGAAGCTGGAGGCGTTTGCGGTGCCAGAGAAGGCACTTGAGCAGACGCGGCTCACTCTGGGCATAAACCTGACGAGTATCACAGCAGCGGCTGCACTCCGTAACCCGGCAACCACCAGCATTCGCGGCAACACTCTCCTCAACGTCACCACAGCGACAGGTTCACCGGTACCCACGGCCTTCTTGTCCCCCAGTTCACCAGAGGAGCCCAGCTACGAGGACAGTCTGGAGCTGCTCATTGGATAATTAAAAAACACAGGAGCTTGTCAATTGAATGTGAGAACTGGTTATTTCGTCAACCTGCACCACCCTCCTGACACTAGTGAGGGGCGTCTAAGGCAGCTATGGTTCTGTCCTGTATGTTCTCTGCTCTACTGTGTTGAAAATGCTGAGTAGTAAGACTAGCATGGGTGTGCCAAAGCCTCCTGTTTTGTGCCTGTGTGTCCCTGTATGTAACTGCCTGTCCCCTGTTCAATCAAACTCACTTTGGTTCCCATGTTTTGACTGCTAGGGCGATTTCTTTCTCAAATGGACCATATCAGTGCAGTACACAGCAATATTATGAAACCGTGATAGATGTTCTTCATCTGCACACAGCCCTGGCATCGAATCTTCATCAGATCTTAATTAGCTTTTATATGTTCATGTATTCCTGTGTATGTCTCCAGCTATTATCAGGCCAACCAATACTAACCCCCTGTATGTTAATTGTGAACGAATCTTGTGAATAATCTATGGACCGTTGTTTTACCACACACAAGACTGTATGCCTTTTTACATCATTGACTTCACTCAATTCATGTACTGTCCAACGGAGATTGACATCTGTACCGGCAGTGGGATGATGTGCACACAACATTTACTGTATGGTCAATGCACGTGGCGGACCGCAAGTAAGCACTTAAGTTTCATTGGCAAAATCGCAAGCAAAATCCACCATCGGTTACCATAGCAATAGGAGCCCCCCACCCCTCCCCCAGCCCTTGTGCACACACGTTGTTTACAATATTGTCTTCTATAATCTAACAAGGATTGTACATGATTGTGTGTTTAGATAAACTAAAGCCATAGGTTGTTATTGACAAGATATAATATACCCTTTGTGCGTGCATTTACCTATCACCTGTAGTGTCCCGACTGATAATGAGACCAACTCCAACTATTTTTGATACCAAATGTTCAATAGTTCCATGGTTTTTCCTTCAACTTTTGTTCAGCACCTTTATGCCCATCTACAAAGCTTCACGAGGCTGTTTGCTAACCATGTTATTATTTACTGTCTCAGCTTAAACTACAACCTTTTATTATTTTAGTCCAGTCAGAGCGACCAAAACCAAGACTGACACTTTTTTGTTTGACCAGTAAGGAAGTAGTGAGCGGGTAACTGGACAGTTCGATCAGAAAGCAACCTTTGTTCTGCGTTGTTTCAAAATGTCTTTCTTTTGGGCATTACTTGAACCCTGGTTGAGTTTTGTTATTGTTTTTAATGTTAAGCTCTTGCATAGGGAGTGAATTATTATTGCGGAAACATTCACTGCCATAATATGGAAATGTATATTACAACATGAATTAAAAGATAGTTTTTTACTTTTTCAGTTTGTTGTCTTTTTGTCTAACTAACCACATACTAACTACCAGCTGCTCAAGGATTTTTGTTGTGCTATATTCACATTTACCGACTAACTAAAATGACTGATCTGGAGATAGTTCAAGTTTAAAAATGGGTCATATCAAATAGAAGTAAGTTTGGGAAAAGTCACTATATGGGTAAAGAAAAAATGATCATTTTCTTGTACATGCACCATGAGTAATACTGGAATTATGAATGATTGCCGTTACAAGTATTGAGAAACTAAATTTATTTAAAAAAGCACATTCTATATATTATATCTGACACTACAAAACCTGTTTCTCAAACGTCTCCTTACAACTTACAATGCTAACAAGCTCTTGTCATTTTATTGAAGGAAGGCGCTGCTCCACAGTTGCACAATGAGCTTATCTATCTTATTGTATAATTTATGGGTGTTTCACATTGTCTCAAAAACACTTATTTTCTCCATTCTATGAGCAGGGATGCCTCTGCACAGATGTAAGTTTAATAAGTTAAATGCCAGGCTGTGGCACAGGATGGCAGGAAGGAAGGCAGACCCTCCACCGTAAAAATGATACACACATACTTTAAATAGTCGTGCATGTCAACTCAATACTGACATGGCAGCAAACATTCAATAGTCACAATTGACCAGCAATAAATGACAATATTTGAACGTGCCCATAAAATCCACATCTGTAAGTTTTTCTTACTCCAAGTTCCGATATTCCAAACTTTTCCACTGCTGCCTGGTTCAAAATGTCCATATAAACCAGTCCCCATTGTCTTCCTCGCCCTCCATTCTCGGATCATTAAACTCTGATGCTTTCGCTCTGCCATAACTGAAGTAGGTCTCATTATGTTTACTTGAATCCTGGTTGCGTATTTCCCTTTTGGCAAGGTTTCAAAATGTCCTCCCTTTGGGCTTAACCACTCTTGGATCAGCAAACTTCTGGCCTCTTGGTCCAGCTGGCTGTTTGATTTGTTTTAGAGTTGCAATGTTTTTCTTTGTTTCTTCTATCCCACAAGAAAGGCCCCGAAATAGCTGGCCCTCCCGTCCATGGTACTGGCGTTGCTGACGGTGATGAAGAGTCGGTCTGCCGGCTGGAGGAAGGCAGTGCCGGCCTGATGCAGGGAGAAGATGCCTGGCTCCTGACCGCGGGGCCAACACACGCTCCGGGAGGACTTCATCAGGAGAATGGGAACTGTGTATGAGCTCATCTGTAGAAAGGAAACAGGAAAGTTATAGATGTATTAAAAAGTCAAAAGGTGTATCATTAATAGAGCATTCCAAAGAGTCTATCTGTTAGAAATATCCTGGTAACTATGGTAACAATCACATTTGCAATTAATTTCTCTGTAATTCCTGTATCAAACAACCACAAAAAAAAAACTCACAAAGTTCCACATTTGTGTACTTTGTTTGTACATCAATTATGTTCTATTAATTTTCTTATTATTATCTGTCTAGAGAATGATTTTACTAACATATGCCTGCTGTTGGCCAGTAGAAAGAACTTACAGAGAATATTATGGTGGGTGTGTGAATCTAATCACTATCAAATTATAAACTGGGAAAGCATTGGGACTTTTTCTTTTTCAACATTTATTTAAAAAATGCCTTCTCTCCCATTGAGTTGTGTCGGTGAAGCAAGTGGAGGAAACTACATTTTGGGTATTGCTTTGCTGAACATCTAAAACTTTGCTTTCACTTTCACTCAACAGGAAAATGTCCCATATTTTCTGGGACATGAATGAAAACGCTGATTCTGGTTATCACAGGGTCATCTGGAATTTCCCTTTTTTATTATTGTGAAATTTTGTGAAACGTTTGTCTAAACTGTAGAATCCTCTTGTAAACAGTTTTCGGAACATGCACAGAGAGTACTGGCAATACTTTTTCAACTAAAAGTGAAAAAACATAAACAAATAAATTCATATTCACTCCTCACTCAATGATGCAAGTGGAATGAAATGACTATTATGCATTCTCGTTGTGATGATTAGAAGCCGGTGTAACTTGACTCTTACCTTTTTGTAGATGTACTGGACCAGCTCTGCCCCGTCCTCCCCGCTGGGCTCCTGCGCCTCAGTGTCTCCAGTAGAGGGCAGTCTGAAGTATGTCTGAGCGTAGATGTAGTACAGGCCGGCTTTAGGCACCAGCAGCTCTCCTCCCTTCAGCTCCATGTTCAGCAGAAAGGCCAGGCCGCGCTGCCCTTCCCAGGCCCGCACACGCTCCCCCAGGTGACCCTTACTGCCCCGCGAGCCTGAGAGACCAAACACGAGTGTAAACATGGAGCCCATTCACCCATTTCTCTTAAACAGATACATCAGTTCTGTGAAAAGGCAGTACAACAATAACATGTAGTTTCAGTTAGGGCTGGTGGATAAGATAACAAATAATTAAAACCTTGATTTTATTGCCACATTTGGACAATTACAATTTTGAAAAACTTTAGATTAAAGTCGTGGCAGTCACCGATAAAAATCAAATCAATGTTGGAAATCTTTTCATACATTAGTTTATTTCTTTCAATATTTGATTGTTGAATACATTTTCATCCCCCCAACAAACTGATTTTTTGTGGGCCGCACTGTTGTTTCTATAGTTTCTCCAAACCCGCACTTTATCCTTACCTTGATTTCACTATTTTTAGAAAGCCAATGAATCAAATCATATAGTTTTGTTTATTGCGCAGCCCTTGCTTCTACACCATTGTATGTGTGTTCGGCCAGAACTCAGCAGCACGACTTTTTACAGGAACCAAATACGTGAGAACACATAACTCTGATTTTAGCATCTGGCTTCCTGTTAAAACCTTTTTACAATGTGTTGTTTGTTTTGAAAGCCTTAAACGTATTGACCCTACACATCAGTATATCTTGAACCTCATCCAAATTTACTGAGGTCCAGCTTGTGGGGCCTAAGACTGGACTTTCAGCTTTTTAAAGTCTTGTCTTAGGACCCACTTTTATGCTCTGGCTTTTAAAACAGCGTGGGTTGTGTGGTCCTGTCATGGATCTATTAGGGTCCTGTATATTTAGTCCATTTTGTAATGTTTTCCTTTTTTTGGCCTTGTGTTATTTTAATTTTATGTATATTATTTATTTAATTTTAAACATGGTAAAAAAAGTTTCATTTTACATTTTGTTATTATCCTTATCTTATGGTATTTATTTATATATCTGTCAGACTTGTATGAATACATTTATTATTTTGATCTCTGTGCAGCAGTTGTTTTCATAAAACGCTATAAATAAAGTGGATTGGAAATATGTGCAGCTGCAGCATGTGCGCAAGAATAACTAAAGTCCTGACTTCAGGGTTGTACTTAGCTCTATCACTTTCTGTGGGCACAACTGCACATGATAACTACAGGTGGATGACACCTTGTAGCAGTGTTCATTGCACAGTGTGACAGCTGTGTGATAAAACAAAGTGCTATGTCCTTGGGTAAAAACACGTCACCAGACACTGCATCCTTTCACACGCACGGATGTGTTTGATTAAGTTTGCAAGTCCATATAGAGAAGCAGCTCTGTAAATATTATGTGAGGAGCAGTAACTATTTTCTTTCGTATCACATCATTTTCACCACGTTAACATTAGCTTGTATTTCAGTGAGCAACTAATTAACGCTCAAGTCAACCTCTGAAAAGAAAAATAACTTCTGTTATGGTGTGAAAGTAATTCTCTGGAGCGCGTCCAATAAAAACACGGCAGCAACTTCCAGAAAGAAGCTCGATGTTGCTATAAAAGAAGCAAACTTGGCAGCAGTGATGAAAATCCTTTTGAGGCTGCACACAATTTAAAGAGAACATATGGAAAAAATACTTCTTTATGATATTGTCGCATTAGATCATAGTGGATTTTGGCTTTGGTGTGGCTGCACAACAAAGCCGAGCCAAAACAAACACGTTGAATAGACTCCTACACTGGGGTTCATAATGAGAAATCACAGACAGAATCGGTGGAGGAAAGCGCTGGTGTCAGGCTCACAAAAGGACACGGCGGAGGTTTGATGGACGCAGGTATGAGGATTAAAGCAGGGAGTAGCCGGGAGCACATTCCTCCCGCTGCCCTCAGTCCCCAGGGCCCAGACGAGGAACGCACTCACTCATAGATGGCTTTGTGACGGATCGGAAGAGATCACTCCTCGCCCTGTTGGCACTTTTCCATTCTCAGAGCCGTGCACGATCAGAGGCTCCAAGATTCTTTTCAACCATTTGTTTTCATATCGTGAGTGAATTATTATGACGAGTTGTTGACTGATTATTCCACCAGTCACACTATTATTTCTATTGTTTCCACTGTTATTTATACTAATTTCAAGACAGATGTTTAAGTAAATTCAATGTATTATTGTATAGCCCTAAATTGATCTGTAAAAATGCCCTATATAAATAAATATTACATAATTACTAAATCACAACAGTGGTTTTGTTGGAGGACTTGAATTAGCCAACACAGATCAGAGAATCAATCTGGTGGTAAAAACAAATGTTATAAAGTAATGTTTGTGTAAGGCTTCAATTTTTGTTCAAAGTTTTTAACAATTTTCAGTGAATTTAGATCTAACCTATCTATCTTACCTTTCTTGATTACTTTTTTTTGTAGAGTAGTAGATACATATTTTAAAATTGTCGCCCTGGACATTAGGCTTGCGACCCCCCAGTCGTGATCCCAGACCATGAAAGAAACCAACTTAAAATCTGTATAAATGTTTTGTACATATTTCATAGATTTCTGTTATTTTCTTCATAATTCTAGCATTGTAGAAACGTTCAATGCAATAAAACAATGATTTGTAAGAAAAAAACAAAAAAAACCTGAATTTACATTATTTCCAAAAGTAATAGTGTTTTGGATCAGGGCTTGTTGTCATGGTGACGATGGTGGATCCAGTTAAGAACCAGTGATAAACTACATAAGGTCAAAATTCAAAATGGGATCAAAATAAATAAATGATGCAACCGTATATCTGGACATTTCTATTCTTTTCTACATTTCATTCTATTTAGGAGCCTTTGTGGCACTACTGTTAAACAGATTAAATTACATTAAAAAGATAACAATGATCCAAATTCAATTTACAACAAAAGTTACATCCAAATGTATTATTTTAGATATTATTATTAATATTATTGTTATGACTTTGCTTCAACAGAGCTCATTTCTGAAATCTATAATACATAATAAATCGAATACTACAGATATACAGTGCCTTGCGAAAGTATTCGGCCCCCTTGAACCTTTCAACATTTCGCCATATTTCAGTCTTCAAACATAAAGATATAAAATTTTAATTTTTTGTCATGAATCAACAACAAGTGGGACACAATCGTGAAGTGGAATGAAATTTGTTGGATGATTTAAACTTTTGTAACAAATAAAAAACTGAAAAGTGGGGCGTGCAATATTATTCGGCCCCTTTACTTTCAGTGCAGCAAACTCAGTCCAGATGTTCAGTGAGGATCTTTGAATGATCCAATGTTGTCCTAAATGACTGATGATGATAAATAGAATGCACCTGTGTGTAATCAAGTCTCCGTATAAATGCACCTGCTCTTTGATAGTCTCAGGGTTCTGTTTAAAGCGCAGAGAGAACCATGAAGACAAAGGAACACACCAGGCAGGTCCAAGATACTGTTGTGGAGAAGTTTAAAGCCGGATTTGGATACAAAAAGATTTCCCAAGCTTTAAACATCTCAAGGAGCACTGTGCAAGCAATTATATTGAAATGGAAGGAGTATCAGACCACTGCAAATCTACCAAGACCCGGCCGTCCCTCCAAACTTTCATCTCAAACAAGGAGAAGACTGATCAGAGATGCAGTCAAGAGGCCCATGATCACTCTGGATGAACTGCAGATAACTACAGCTGAGGTGGGGATGGTGTGTTCAGGGTGATGAGCTGTGTTGCTTTTACGCCAAACATATCGTTTTGCATTGTGGCCAAAAAGTTCGATTTTGGTTTCATCTGACCAGAGCACCTTCTTCCACATGTTTGTGTCTCCCAGGTGGCTTGTGGCAAACTTTAAGAGACTTTTTATGGATATCTTTGAGAAATGGCCATTCTTCCATAAAGGCCAGATTTGTTTAGTGCACGACTGATTGTTGTCCTATGGACAGACTCTCCCACCTCAGCTGTAGTTATCTGCAGTTCATCCAGAGTGATCATGGGCCTCTTGGCTGCATCTCTGATCAGTCTTCTCCTTGTTTGAGATGAAAGTTTGGAGGGACGGCCGGGTCTTGGTAGATTTGCAGTGGTCTGATACTCCTTCCATTTCAATATAATTGCTTGCACAGTGCTCCTTGAGATGTTTAAAGCGTGGGAAATCTTTTTGTATCCAAATCCAGCTTTAAACTTCTCCACAACAGTATCTCGGACCTGCCTGGTGTGTTCCTTTGTCTTCATGGTTCTCTCTGCGCTTTAAACAGAACCCTGAGACTATCAAAGAGCAGGTGCATTTATACGGAGACTTGATTACACACAGGTGCATTCTATTTATCATCATCAGTCATTTAGGACAACATTGGATCATTCAAAGATCCTCACTGAACTTCTGGACTGAGTTTGCTGCACTGAAAGTAAAGGGGCCGAATAATATTGCACGCCCCACTTTTCAGTTTTTTATTTGTTAAAAAAGTTTAAATCATCCAATAAATTTCGTTCCACTTCACGATTGTGTCCCACTTGTTGTTGATTCATGACAAAAAATTAATTTTATATCTTTATGTTTGAAGACTGAAATGTGGCGAAATGTTGAAAGGTTCAAGGGGGCCGAATACTTTCGCAAGGCACTGTATATACAAATATTAAACGTATATATCTGTAGAACGGGAAACATGTTTTTAAACTGTAGCAAGCAGTACATGAGGATTACATTACAAAGTCAGGATGTGCTTTTCTTCAACGGTATCAAAGTGACAAAACGTAAGACAAAAACTAAATACTCTGCTCAGTCTAATGTGGATGTGTGGTAAACAGAATACAAACAAGGACCGAGACTAACAGGATAATTTGATAATGTTGTGATAAGCTAAATGCTGCCCGACCCTCACCTTCTGGCGCGGAGCTCTCTGTGGGGGATGCGACTCCGGTTACGTGAGCCGCCACTTTGGGAAGAGGGACGCCTCGGACTGCAGGGGCAAACAGCGGCAGCACGGACGTCGGATCGTCTGAGACCGAGAGGGAGTTGGATTAACATTAGAAATGTATCAAGTGAAATGAAGGAGACATACTCAGACATACTTGTCATAGTTTTGGAGATCTCAGTTTGAAATTTTTCTTCCATTGCCTAAAAAGAAAACCAAAAACAATCATATTATACATGTTACTAAAGTTGCATTGTGGTCGATTCAGCCTGTTTTCACCTATCCCCACCCACATTCCATACTGGATTTGTGGTCGCTGTGATAGTGACTAGAGCAGCTAATGGAAACTTAGGGCTACTTCAAGAGCTCGGAGTAAAACAAAGGGCTGTTGCATCATACAAGTAACATGGTTTATCTTTAATTACTATCTATTACTATTATTATTAAAAAGTATTCATTATAAAAAGTGACATATCGATGTTGATATGCTAAACCTGATCTCCATCCATTCATTTTCTACCCCTTAATCCATTTCTGGGTCGGGGGGTGGCAATCAGCTGCCACCAATCCACAGAGCACCAGCCTCTGTCTGATCTCATCTAAGAATAATGGTTTGAATAATGATTTTTTTCTTCTTCTTGATTTTAACATTTAGTTTGTCCCAGCAGAAAGATCAAATAAGATGAAAGAAATCGTCTTGTAAAAGATTTGGTACTTTCACCTCATTAGAAACCATTGTGTCTTTTGTATACTTACAATACTTATGTATAAAGAAAGAGCCCTGTGAGTCAATATTTGGGCTTTGGGCTGAAATCTTTGTGGCTGAGTGAGCGTAGTCCTGTATTTTTTACTTTTCGGTTTGAAAATAATCTGATAATGTGAAAAAAGGCCAAAATATACATTTATCTGAAAACCAAATGGTTTTGAGAGCGTGGAACTACAGTTAGATTTCATTATAACATTATTTTTTTCAAGTTTGGAAGATATTGGAATTATTTTGGCAATGATACTGATTAAATGAAATTATACTGATAGTGATGAAAAGTTTCTATACGCCTAATTCTGATTCCTCTACAAATAACTATACGTCTTCTTTAAGTCAAAGCGAAAGTAGTCTCTGCATCATCAAAACGTTACATTTGATAAAAACTGAAGGCAATAGAAGATGGACCTTCTCTATGTGGGAGCGGAGCTGTTGTGTGACTTGCCAACAGGGGTCGTCCTTCTTCCCCTCGGAGCCGCTGTCCTGGAGTCCAGAGGGTGGATTTGAGTTCATCAAACAAGACACGCTGCTCCTGGAAAAACTCTCCTTCATCTGTCAACAAGGAAACGCAAAACAATGCAATAAAGCGCGTGCGTAAAGAGCGAACGCGTGCCATTTTACGCACACAAATAGAGCCACATTCGTCGCATATACCTTTCAAAAAATGCAACGTTTGTATAGAAATAATGACTCAATCTTGAAATCTGACCCTGTAAATTGTAACAGCGGTGTGAATCATGTGGCATATTGCATGACATTGTATTGCACACTGATCCCAGCAGCACCTAATGCCAACGCCACTTTTGTGACACACAGTGGGTACAGTGAGCGCCAGTGAGTGATATAAAGAAATCAGACCATGCAAAGCAACTGTTGCAATCACGAAACTTTTTAGCCCAGACACGACCATTGCGCGCATGTGATTGGAACGCGTAATCTTACCTTACTGATGACTTGGTTGAAGTACATAAAACTAACAGAAACAGCGATGGTTTGAATCAGCACGGCCCCGAGTATAATCATTCCCAGACACTGTGGCGATACAAAAACGGCCATGTCAACGTTTGCAGCACAGAAAGAGACTGGGGTATAAGCAGCAAGAACGCGCCGTGAAGTGACTTGGAGTGGAGTTTGGCTTGTTCGTAAAAGCGTGCAGGACAAGTCAGATCAAGCTCGCCTGCATTTCTCTAGTGGCAGCGCTGCGTAAAAGGGAGAGAGAGATTTTTTTTTTTTTTTGGTTGGAGGTGGAGCGGAGAGGAGAGGAGCTCTGGAGGTACAAAAGTGATATGAACACTGGGGACTGTTAATACTGCGATGGGAGGCTCGGGGAGACTGGAGGGGGCGCAGGGCAGGGGGCAGGAGGAGAGGGAGGGGCAGGAGGGGGGGCGGAGGGTGCTGCTGCTGAGGTGGTCCATCATGGTTTGTTAATTATCTCCTACACGGTGATAGTCTGCTGAAGACTTGGATCACAGCTTAAAGATAGGACTTTGAATTTATTTCTGGGATGCGTAACTTTTTTGTTTGTTTGATGAGTTATGTGATGTCATAACAACAGAAACCTTTTTTTTATTTCAAGTGAATGCAATAAGCTTCCGTATGATGTAATGTCCCTACACAGAAAGAGTCTTGTAAGAGTGAAGGAGTCTGAACAAATGAGGCCACAACATGCGCTCTTCTTTCTTAGCATCAAGAAGCTTTGGGCTGAGAGCTGATTGGCTGAGTGAGACTGGTCCTCTCTTTTTTCACTTTTGGGTCTAACAAATCTGATCTCTAGATGTGACCGAGGCCAAATGATAGATGCATGTGAAAACTAGAAAACTGTTTGGAGAGCAGCGACACTTAGATGGAAGAGAGGATTTCACTGCATAGATGTTTGTGGTTTTTAACATAGCAAGGCATTTCTAATTCGTTTTTGAAAGAATCTTAAAAACTTTTTGGAATAGATCTGTTGGCATAAAGTTAATTCATATTTTTTGTCCAAGTTTTGTCCAAATTGGTTTCATTTTTGTAAATTGCGATGTGATTATCTGTCAGCATAAAGGGAGGAGCTGGGGATTGAGCCAGATCAGTGCAGATCAATAAATCAGCCGAATAACATTATGAACCTGACTCAACAACCAAGAGAAGTTCCAATCATGCTTCGGTCCATACACACATTCACATTCACAAACATGGAGGAAAAAGATGAAACCATAAAAACAAGAGGCATAGCGTAGAGAATTCAAGCCGAGGAAGCACCATCTATGGAGCCATCTGCCCCGTGAGCAGAAACGATAAACTTTGGATTCTCCGATGTAAGAATACAGTGCCACATGGACATCTCTGTCACTGAAAAAAGAGCAGATATGACAAAAAAAAATCTTGTTTGTTTGTCTATTTCTTAAAACGACCTTGACTCACGCTCTAGTGTAGCTCAAAGTACTTTTCTGATTATTCTAATGCTGGAAAGTATACACACCCAGACACAGATGTTTTGGCCATCTTTCGGAGATACAGAAAGATACAGTAACACATCAGCGTGTCAAAATGTCCAGTTAATGCAAGGCGGCCCAGGAATTTAAAAGGTCTAGAGGGTTTCTGACATTAGGTATCTTAATAAAGAATGGGAAACTTAACCATCAAAGAGGATAGAGAACCTCCTCCATGTACTACACAAAATGTTGATATTTTAAGACATTTTAAGATATTTAAGAGAGTATCAGAAGACCAAATACACCTTGTTAGTTTAAATATCATAATCAGTCCAAGGATGAGTTATAAAATGTGACAATGAATAATATTTGTTCTCATTCACAAGAGCCAAGTCTTTTTTGTTTTTTTTGCATTATAAACAATTTTGAGCCACATTGCTTATCATTCCCAGACAGAAAAGCACTTTGATGCACCAGAACTCGGTTTATGGATCCCAGCTGAAGCAAAGTGTAATTACCCAGGTTACATCAGGCCTCCTCATAAAACATGAAAGATGCAGAGATCATATGTGATGGGAACAATGTGTTTTATTTAAATGCAACCACAAGACTATTTTCCAACGACGAACAATGCGATCAAATAATTTCACCTGATGAATTTGTTGAGACGTAGACAATAAATGGACATTTATTTTAAGATTTGCTCATAGAACAAAAACATACATATTAGATGCGTATTGAGTGATTTGGTAAAATAATACTGTACATAGCTGGATAATGTACCACAAATAATAGCCTGAATGATCTCCAGAGTTGGAACGCCAAACCACATTCTTTCACTGACAGAAGATTGGATTGATGATTATAGACACAACATTTTATGGAGTGTTTGACAGAAGGTATATTTTTGCTTCCCAACAAAGGAGTACCCCCTTTGTTGGAAGGGGTGGGGGTGGGGGGCAACCCATTTTGAAAAGATCAGACACAACTCATTTTAGACCACTGTACCTACAAAGACAATGCATCCAGCATTGTCTTTGTAGGTACAGTAGTTTGATCATGGGTTTTCTGTGTGGAGTCTGTTTAGGTTTCCTCTGGGTGCTCCGGGTTTCCTTATCACTAAAAACATGTGCAACAGTTCAGGCTGAATGAGGTGCGTTTGTGAGTGTGATCGTGGGACAATGGATGGAATTTATTCTAAGGCTACAATCCAGAGAGGTGTGTTCTGGTGTAATTGAAAGAAACCAAATGTTTGCAGATTTAAAGTTGGATGCACCTGTACCACAGAAAACATCGCAGAGGTTTCTCACTTTTACCACTGGGTTTAGAGTTTTTCCTTGCCGATAAAGGAGGGTCTGTTAGAGTCTTGTGAGGTCTAACTGAAAGGACAGTGGTGATGATCCAGGACACTCAACATTCAACAACACTTATGGACATTGGTCATCTGCCCCGTATCCACCAAAACCAATGTGATCTCTGTTCTATTTTCTGTGTTTGAACTGTTTGATTCTCTGATCTGTGTTGGCAAATTCAACGGTTGCATAAATTCCTCCGAGAGTACTACTGTTGGGATTTAGGGCTGTACAAGAATACTTTGAATGGAATTGAAAATATCCATCGAAATTTGAAAGAAGTTCTAAATACTTTGGGAATTACTCAGAAGAGGGTGGTGTGGTGAGCTGCTGGTGGCTCTGGAGCTTTAGGTCCTAATGTGATGTCATTATCTCTACCTGCATTACGTCTAACTACTCATCACAACTGTGTCTTGGTCTCAAGCTTTTATTTGCAATTGGTGTCAAAAACAAATACGCCACAATAAAAGAAACATGCTTTAAAGTTGATGGACAGAGTTTCTCCGAGCATGTAGGGTTATCAGATGGAACAACAGACGGACACGTTCCCTGAAGGTCCGTTCACATTTCTGTGGGACGTGTAGCAGCCTGTTAATGTTTGAGCCCATCACACATGCACAGTCTATTCTCTTCAGCGTTTCTACTTTTGAAGCCACTTTGACATTAATAGTCGACAGTCTATGACAGTCAAGTAGATAGGTTGTAGGCCCATTATATAAAAAACGTCGTAAACCTTTGAAAATATGAAAATAACAACGAAAAGATCCATGGCCAACTTTTATTTAAGTAAGCTATTCATTATATACTGTACGTGTTTATTGATATTTAGGATATAGTTATCAAAAAACACATTTTTTAATTGCATAGATGTTGAGATCCATGTACAGAATATAAATTGTGCTAAAAAATAATCAATCATTTGAACAATTGTAATTTTGGTTTATGTTTTCTCTCATTCCGCTGCCCGACTGTTTTTATTGCATGTTGTCTTTTATAACCTCCGGGGGAAGATACCTGTACTTTCCCTGCTCCACAATTAAAGAGGACTTAAAAAATGCAAGTGCTCCCGCGGTGCCAACAGAGATGTGTGTTTGATGCCAAATCCACTCTGCCACGCTTATTATGGACTATTATTATTACAGTATAGAAGGAACATCTAAATCAGTCACAATCAGACATAAACTACTACTATTTATGTTAACATTTGGAAATGATGAGTTTTATGTTTTGAATCAGTGAGCAAGTATATGTCCAAAAGAAGGCATAGACCCTGCAAAAACTTTTTTTGATTGGGCAGATTTGACTTGACAAGTAAATTACCATCGCAGACGTTTGTTTACTTAGAGCAAGACAAAAACAGAAAACAAGAACTATCTTAACTCGAGGAAATAAGAATCAAATGTTGCTTATGTTAAGATCAAAAAGACTATTGTTCTTTTCAGTTACATTAAATTCAATTTGTGTACAGCCCTAAATCACAACAGCAGTCGTCTTGGAGGACTCTATAAAGTTGTCAGAGAAGGCCCTATACTGCATCAGCAAGGAACGACTCAAAATAGCCCCAAAAAAATAATAAAAGTGAGGGACCCGCATTGAGAGGGACCGGCTCTAGATCCAGGACTCAGACTGTAGAACAAGGACAGCGTCAGAATTCCTCAGTCCCTACTAGAATATTATGTCACTTGTCGTGATAATTACTCACATGAAGCTAAATATTAATCATATTAAGTCATATTATCTCAAATTCACCAATTGTGTTTTTGCAGTTTTTCTGTGTAAATAACTTATTGTCCCGATGGAGACATTTTTCCATTCAACCCATCCTTCCAATGACACCCCAGATGTCAATGCTTGGCAAAAATCAAGCCCACAACCTTCCTGTCATAAGCCTCATGATGCAAAGAAACCATTCATTGATTCAGTATTTTTGGGCTGTAACAAGTCAATGGAATAATAAAACTAATGGGTGATTTACTGAGGTTTTATGACTCATTTAATTCTATAATAACTGCAGAATATAATTAAAGCCGCACTAACTGACTTTGAGAAATTTTCGAGTGTGAGCGCTGGGCTCGCTCTTTTTGCTTGCCCTCCCCGCACCCATGGAGCTTTGGTCCCCCACTAAACCCCCTCAGCCTGTGCACACATGCTAAATGTATACGGAGCTCAGGTCTCACAATATGGATTGCACATTTGAACGTGGATGGCGTGACCATAGAATGAACCGGGAAGCGTGGAAGAACGAGACTTTCTTTTGGATGGCTGTTTTAAGCAGTAACTGGTAACGAAGACACAGGAGTTTCAGGTTAGCCTCCGCCGCTTGTTTACCTCAGCTGTCTGTTCTAACAAGAGACCTGTGGCTTTTCTCAAGAAAGTGGGGGCCAGTGGTCCGCTATGATTGGTCACAATCTGGTCCCGAAACAAATTCTCTTCCTTGTTGCACGAAAACTCGATCTTGTCGTATTCTAAATAGGAAAATAAAAATATAAATAAATGTTGTGCGGTCGTGATTCCTGAGATCTTACACACTTTCAAATTCATTTCAATTCAATTCCATTTTATTCTTGTATAGCCCTAAATGACAACAGTAGTTATCTCGGAGGACTTTAAAAAAAACGCCAGCACAGATCAGAGAATCAAACAGTTAATGCAACC